ATGCCACTGTTGGATAAACTTTTGGGTTTATGTTATATATATATACATAGATAGATAATAGTTGTTATAAAAGTAACAATAATAACTAAGCATAGTGATACTAATAACATAATAACAACAACATTAATATAAAACAATAACAATAATAGTATATAATAATAACATAAAACAGTTATATATTGATAATATAACAACAATAACAATAATATGAAACAATAATAACATATCAAACTAGTTAATGGGTCCACACAACAGGGGGTCTGTCACTTGTAGCAAGTGGGTTGAGTTTTCCTCTGGAGGAGACCAAATCTGAAGCGAACCAAGGGGCACATTGGAATATGGTAAAGCCAATAGAGAATCCCCAAAATCATCAGAAATGGGTGGTATACTGTAAAGCATCCCCAAATGGTTCCGGTCATTTTTGGGGAAACCCCAAAATCATGCCACCAAAATGAGCACCCGAGCGCTTTTCGAAAACCCCCACCTGTGTACATCAACGACAAAAGCACCTTCACTGCTAAGACACTCACCTGGGGGCGCGTTCATTTAGTCACTCGAAAATAGATTCCAATGCCCTGTTGCAAGACCAAAAATCCATTGGACAAGTGCCACTTTGATTAAAAAACAAATACCCTCTGGTAAACTAACATAGCTATTGAAAATGACCATTTATAGTTGATTTAACCATTAAAAATTGTAAGAAATCCAGTGGAGTCTGAGAACTTTTTTGCTCTTTGTGGCAAATCAGTTTTTGGGAGCAAATCTTCTAACTTTGTTGAAAGAACAACTGAAACAAGCTCCACAAGTCATCTAAGCAGGGGCTTTAGATTTGGATGTTCCAGGTATTCAATAATACTTGGTAGTTCATCCCAGTTAGTAAGTGGATTTGAACCCCAGCTCTAAGTGAACATGGCTCTTGTTTAGCCCATTGAAATCACCCGGGGTATAACCTACGTACAATTCGTGTGATGAACGGTACGGAGACTGTACGCTTTAAGATAGAAGACTTTACAGACTTAGCCTAGATATAAAGAAGTTACATAATTTATGTTGGAAGTTAACATGACTTATCAAAAATATGAAAAGAAGTTATGTTAACTTGGATAACTTATTTGTAAGTTTTTGGTAAGTCTCGATAACTTTTTATAACTTTTTTGACTTTTTATAACTTTTAAAGGCTTTGCAGTGTTGGTTTCAAAGTTTTTTTCGGATCATGCTTAATAATAACCTAATACAGCCAACATACATGATATCATGTTTGCAATTTTTCTAGGAACTTTCATATTTGATGTGAAATTTTATCAGTCTTGTGTTTTTCAGGAATTATCACATTTGATGCGATATCCTTTCAGATTTTCTCCCTTTCACGAACTGGCGCATTTGCCAGGAAATCTTTTCAGATTATGACTTTTCCAGGAATTATCATACTTGATGTGGGTTCTGTTTAGAAGTTTTCCTTTTCAGTAGGGACCTTCACATTTGATGTGAATTCTTGACAGATTTTAACCTTTATATTTGTTTGTTGCAAATGGTTTCGTTTTAGGATTCTTATTCTTCAAACCATTCTTTTCGGTATCTGTTAGTTTCAAACTTTCTCTGTCGGGAACTGTTTTCATCAAACTATTCCTGACGGGATCTGTTTGTTGCAAACTTTCCCTTCCGGGACCTGTTTTCTTCAAACTATCCCTCTCGGGATCTGTTGGTTAGAAACTTTCCCTTTCGGGATTTGTTTCACTGAAACTTTCCCTCTCGGGATTTAGTTTTTGCAACTTATCCCTTGCGGGATCTGTTTTTTCAAGCTTTCTCTTTCAGGCCTGTGGCAAAGGATCCGGATAGTTCCTGTATGGTTCCTGCATAGTTCCTGTATGGTTCCTGCATAGTTCCTGCATAGTTCCTGCATAGTTCCTGCATAGTTCCTGCATAGTTCCTGCATAGTTCCTGCATAGTTCCTGCATAGTTCCTGCATAGTTCCTGCAAAGTTCCTGTATAGTTCCTGCATAGTTCCTGTATACTTCCTGCATAGTTCCTGCATAGTTCCTGCATAGTTAGTTCCCGCATAGTTGCATAGTTCCTGCATAGTTCCTGCATAGTTCCTGCATAGTTCCTGCATAGTTCCTGCATAGTTCCTGCATAGTTCCTGCATAGTTCCTGCATAGTTCCTGCATAGTTCCTGCATAGTTCCTGCATAGTTCCTGTATAGTTCCTGCATAGTTCCTGCATAGTTCCTGCATAGTTCCTGCATAGTTCCTGCATAGTTCCTGCATAGTTCCTGCATAGTTCCTGCATAGTTCCTGTATAGTTCCTGCATAGTTCAGGCATAGTTCAGCCATAGTTCAGCACCAAGGGTGTTGACATAAGTTGTTCGGATAGTTTGCCTAGATTTTGAAGTTGTGCTTCTGGGGTTTTCAGCTCTATGTGTGTCATTTTTTATGTGGATAAGTTTTTTGTATCTTATAAAATTTTGTTTTTGTAAGGAAAAAATATGTTGATCATAGTTTATGTACTGCTGGGGGGTTGTACCTAGCCAGAAGGTAGCTACATCAAGAAGAGAGAATCTCTCCATCCATATTTCGACCGTGATATTATTTCAATAAAACTCAATATGTATCTAGACCCGGACTATGGCTGAACCATTGCAAATTTAAGCTTGCGTTATGAACCATAAATTTGCAAGATAACTCCAATGCAAATGACGCAAAATAGGGGTTCCATAAAGGAGTGCCTCAAGCAATGGATTTTCAAATGTAAAAAAAAGTTTGGGGCACTCGTAGCTCTTTTTTTGGCTGTTTTTAATCTAAGGACTTGGAACTCACAACACGCAAAATATACTAAAAACACTTTGAAGCAATCATGGTCTTGTAGCAAAGGCGAGGCAGCAGCGGCAAGTGCCAACATAAAGGAATCCGTTGACATTTTCGATCGCCAATGGACACCGCGAGCTATCGTTTTGAGCAAATCAGCTATATCACATGCCACGATGTGTCCATATCAAAACACAGAGCGCAAGACCCCTTGCAAGAACTGTCTTCAGAGACATATCCTTTTCAGGAAGTATCTTTGCAGAACCTATCCTTTGCAGGAACTGTCCTCAGAAACCATATCCTTTGCAGAAACTGTCTTTGCAAACCTTATCCTTTACAGGAACTGTCTTTGCAGACCGTATCCTTTACAGGAACTACCTTTACAGATCAAATTCTTCACACACAGGAACTTTCTATTCACACTTCAGTCGTTTAAAAAACTTATTCTTGGGAACCATAACCTTTCCGGGAAAGCATCTTTGCAACTATCTTTTTCCGGGAAACATTACTCAAGCCATCTAAACATACTGCACAAATTCCATTTTGTAACTTTTCTAACTTTTTATAACTTTCTGTAACTTACGATAACTTTTGCTAAGAACTTATGTTAAGTCTCTTAACATAGTTATGAAAAGTTATCTTTAGATAAGATACTTCCGATAAGTTCGTTACGAACTTATATCCTACCTAAACATTTACAACTTCACCCAGCCGGTTACCTGAAGATATAACTTACTTGTAAAAAGTTATGAAACTTTACATACTTACAAGCAGGTTATAAAGACGTTATAGAGGGTTTAGAAGCACGTTATAATTCATATAAATTTGTAAACCCACATAACTTTAAGCGTACGGAGAAGGAGATTCATGTAGGTAAAACAATGCGAAAACAACCACCCATGACTGGGAATGGTAAACATACAACCTACCCTCTGGTAATTTAACATAGCTATTGAAAATTGCCATTTATAGTGAGTTTTCCCAATAAACATGGTGATTTTCCATAGCTATGTTAGTTTACCAGAGGGTATTTATGGTGATGACTGGGGAATGGTTTCCTATTGTTTACCCACAGCTTCCAAGATCCAAGTCGCATGCTCCAAGGACACTTCTTTGGCAGACGCCTCCTGCATGCATCCTGAGGCATCGGTCGATCTGTCAGAGCTTTCGTGTCCCCCCGAAAAAAGAACAACAAACAACTGGAATCACTGGGAACACTTGAGGTACATGTGACAATGTGCTTTTCGGTCTTTTTTGGGGGGATCACCATTTGTTGAACAAATTCCCATTTTCACGAATAAGGACAGTAAACAATCAGTGACTATTGTTCACAAATCAGGCCATGAAATTGATGGGTTGTTGCAACTACGGTACCGAAAAAAAAAAAGCATCCCAGATCATAAATGGTTGACAAACCTGATTAACAAGCGATTATCCCATGTGTAAGTGGTGCAGCTAACTCCACTGAGTCACCAGCTTCTGATTCAAAGAAATGTGACTATAATATCTTATTGACAAATATTGACAAGGTATAGAAATTCCTTTGATCCCACTTTCCGTGGTTGAGCATGGCCTGAAAGCATGGCATTCAGCACAGGAGACGCAGCACATAAGACCCCCAGATGGGCTGGGACTGTCTCAGAAGTCTCCTCACCTGCAAAAGAAGTGGCGCAAGGTGCCATGGTCAAGACATGGAATATCCCATGGACATATATATATATATATATGTATATATATATATGTATGGGAAAATCTATGGGGCAAATATATATATATATATGTATGTACATGAGAATACCAACAATGAGAATACCAATGCTACAAGGAATAACCAATACTATAAATACCCAACTCAGTATGATTTTATGCGGCCCCTCATCCCTCATGGGAAGCCTCAAAAGACCGCCGCAAAAGGACGACTGGCTCATCCAATTGACCACACATCTGGAGATATCGTAGATGGGTGGAATCAAGAAACTTTGGGGGCGATATTTTACCAATGATAGCTATCTGGTTGGTGGTTCTAACCATCTTGAAACATATGAAAGTCAGTTGGGATGATGACATTCCCAATATATGGACAAAAAAAATGTTCCAAGCCACCAACCAGCTATGGAATGCTTTTTGGCGACTATGGGCCAAAACTGATTTTTGGGGATATCTGGATATCTGCAGGACATCTATCAACAACATGGGACATGTTTTTAAAAGAATGGGACTATGTGGACATATTTTCCGACAAAGTGGGATGTCTATATCGAGATGGTGATATACTGATACTGATATATACTGACATACTTACCATCAATAAGATTCAAGAAACTGGTGAAAATGCCTGACCCAGGCAACCTCAGACTCTGGTTGCCTTAAAATTTACAACATGTTGGATATGTTTAGTCAAGCCATTGGTGTACCGTTGCGCCCAGAAACGGTGCCATTGTTAATGATGAACCTTAAGGGCCCGAAGAAAAACATGTTCCTCCATCAAAGTGAAAAACAAACTGTGAGCCTAGCCGGTCAACAAGGTGAAACCAATGACATCGTCAACCATTCTCAACCATTCTCAACCCCAAAAAGACATATCAACATTAGTTATAGCAACCCCCAGCCATAGAAAACACAAAGTTGACAGGTTTCCAGATTAGGATGATAAGGGAAAGATCAACCTTCTTCACATCATTCACATCCCTGAAAAACTGTTCCATCTTATGTTCTCAAGATGATCTGATAGATGGGGGTCTCCGGACTGGCTCATACGGCTCATAACAACGGCCCGGCCTGTCTTGCACACGATCATGCGCACGTCCGCAGTGCTAGTATCTCCAAGAAAACGAGCCCACATCTCCTGCACAGATTGGATGCCCAAATGGGCCTGAAAACCACGGTTGATCATGGTTTATCAGGGTTTACATCCGAAATCCAGTGGCTTATCATCGTTTATCACCAATTTCCTTACTCAAGTTGCTATTTTGGGGGCGTACCCAATTTTCAGGCACAAGGGATATGAAGCAATCTGCATTCGTAGGATCAAAAGCGCTCTTTTCAAGACATCTGAAATCGCAGCCACTGTATACCCCAACAATGGCTATTTAGTAAGGAAAATGATGATAAACTATTGGATTTTGGGGTACTCTATTTTCAGACAAACCCGTTAGCATCAGCCCCATCAGACATTTGCTGCCATGGAACCAACAACTCTTCCGGCACCAGGGCTTTCTGGCTGTCCGTCTTCGAATGCTCGGAGAACAACGTCAGCAACGCCTCCAAAAAACCACGCCATGATGGGGGGAGCTTTCAGGGACCGCAGCAAAGCCATGTTCGAAATCATCCGTCTATGGTTCTGGATGATTTCAATCCCCATTTCGAACCCCCCTACCTTATTGCACTTATCGATGTCATCACGGGCAGATCCTTTTTTGGTCAATCCGTTTTTGCTTCATCCCAGAACGGTGATGCTCGAGCAAGAACTACATTTCACTTAAGCCAAGGCTGTTTGCCGTCATGAATCGCTGGTATTGCAGACTTTGGCAACAGAATTCGACCTTTCCTGTGATGCTTGCAGAACTACGAGCAAAGAAAAAACCTACACTGCCATAAGAATGGGATGTTGCATCTTGGATTATGTACAGTCTGGCTGGTGGTATACCTACCCCTCTGAAAAATATGAAAGTCAGTTGGGATGATGACATTCCCAACTAAATGGAAAAAGTAAAATTCATGTTCCAAACCACCAACGAGCAGTATAATACAATATCAAGAGGTGGTTTGTGTGATGGAGGTGATGGGAGCAATTGAGCAATTTGATTGCGCTGCAAGAAGCAATTCATATGATCTGGTGGTTTCTTCCTGAAATGAACTGGTATCGTTTCAACACATATTAGAGATTATTAGAGTATATCACTAGAAAAATGATATATTATTAGAGTATTTCAACACATTTCAATGGTACCTTCAAGACATATTAAAGATTACTAGTCGTTTGCCACGCTGAAGATATCTTTCCAAACCGGCTCCGCAGGACTTGATGTGGCATGGCTGAATGCCTTATGTTTCAGTTTTAAACCTTCAGGATATGGGGGTTTCCTAAAATATGGGGTGCCCCTAAATCATCCATTGGGATTTTCCACAAAAAACTATCCATCTGGGATACTAGTATCCACCAGTTTACCTCTAACATAAACATTAGCATGTAGCGTAATTTCTTGGTGTCTCCCATTTCCCATCACCAATGTCATGGTATGGATACCACTGCGGCTTATCCCTGATCCACCCTGCTTGATATTCGTCCACGTATCCATCGAAAAAGGGTAGGTCAATATCCGAAGCAGCAACCTACTATGATGGTGAGTTGATATAGAAACCATAGCTTGGTTATAATAATCACAATAATGACAGTATATGACATGCAGTGATCATGATCATCATCCCCATTCATGATAGCAAATTATAGTAACATGTTAAATCACCGTCACCCGTATAATGATAGTTAATCACCACATAGCCCCACAATCGCAGCGTAACATATCACTCATATCACCTCAAGCATGTATATATATATAAAATAATAACCATTAACTCCATCATGTAACATATAGTACTCATGAACCCCATCAAGTATGAATGATAATTAGTATTCATTCATGATCGTAAATACTAAGCATGACAATTACCAGCTCCATCAATGAAGGCAATGAGATGAACTCTAGAATAGTAACTCAATAATTAACGTCTACTAACCATGACTTAAATTCACCATGAGAATGACTCCCCCCATCAACTTCAACAGCTGCGCCCTGCGCCCTGCGCCCTGCGCCTTATCCACGTCCTGGATCTTTTTTTGCACCGCCGACTTTTGCGTCAAACTCTCCGACTTCAGCAGCGCTCGCTTCACCGCCAGCAGCGTCTCCAGGCCCGTCTTCCGCGCGGGGATCACGTCCTGGTCGAGGGGGGAAAATCACTGGAGAATGACCGGGAAAACATGGGATCCACAGGACATGGATGGAAATGGGCTATCCTGATGGGTGTCTTTTCCATGGGAAAGGACCCAATAAGTAATAATTTGTTGATCATGTGTATATGTTTTCTTTATTTTTCTCTGCGTTCATAAAAAGGGAAGCTGTAGCATGGTGGATGAAAGCAGCAAAACTGGGCTGTTGAAGGGTGCAGGAATTGGAACAACAACCTACAGCTACTACAGCCGTAAATCAAGGCATTTGGATGTTATATGGTACTGTAACAGTCCATTCGCTTAGTATGTTCCGATCGCTCGAGTCACTGTTCCAACTAGATCGCTGGGTGATGACAGCGACCACCCGAGAGGGGCTCGACGAAGGTTCAAAGACGACCAAGGACCAGTTGCAGGAACCAGTTACTCCATGCCCCATATCCTGCACATCTATCTGATAGATGGTGATATAAGTATAGTCTATTTAGCAATTTTTATTTTGTCCCCATCAAACGAATCATTTGAGCAGGTAAATACCGGGCTTGGTCAGTGCGATGATTTGCCCCGTATGGGTATGTGGCTATGGGTCAACACAGTACACATGTTGGTACAACAATGTCATAAACATATGGATCCAGATGGGTTTCATCCCAATCATGTTTACATGGATAAACATGGTGTCTATGTGTGGATGGTCATGGTTTTACTATGGTTTTACTATGGTTTTTACCATGGCAAACTGCCCACAACAGCCCCAAGTCTGTCTCAGTTTTACTATGGGCAGTTCTTCCCGCCTCGGTCCAGTCATCTTTCTCGAACCAGCGCCAACTGAGGCAGCGAATGCCTCAGGATCTGTAACGGACAGATCTGTAACAAATGGCAACCCCCAAGTAGAAAAGCACCATGAAAAATCCTAGAATCTACTTGGACCATTTCTGAGTTTTTTTCGGGTTACTATATTACTATGGTTTGTTCTCATGCTTATTGGATTTGCTGGACGTCTCTTGCAGACGAGACCATCTATAAGATGTCCCTAACGAACGATAACAGTGGCTACAGTCACGGCCCATCCCCATGTTTAACCTCCCCCACCATGACTGAGCAGATGACGGGGACCATGATTTTCCGATGATTTTCCCATATTTTCAACCACATCTGGCGATTGAGTTGTCAGGCCATACACTTGGCAACGTAGTGTGTATATATATATGTATATATATATTATATGTAGTGTACTCTATATATATTATGAGTTTATGATGATAATATTATGATACTATTTATGATCCTTAGTTTACTATATCCCATACTGAAATCACCATAGTTACTATAATTGTAATCCTGTATGTATGCAAATATGATTCATACATAATCATATTCATACATATTCATGCATATTCATACACATTAGTCAAACGTTGCGATTAATTGCTTTATTGTTCATGTTGATCAGGCTATCCAAAATGACTATCACTATGTATATACGAGGAAATTCATCCCTTGTGCATACAATATCCGAAGATCATATAGCCGTGGATCAAAACCCCAGTAGCCCATTGTTCAAATCAAAATCGTGTGAAACTATGGATATTCATCATCCCAGCCTTATAGAGAATCATATTGACATGTTTTGATGGCCATGATGTTAACTTGGTGAAACCTTCACCTATACACGTGAATTCAACATAACATAGAACCAAATCCAATAGAAAGATAATCTAATTTCAGAAGAAACTTGGGCAGGCATACATTGGACACAGGCCTAAATCATTTCTTTTCTGTGTATTTGACATCTCATGCGTCATTTCTTTTGTAAGGTGTCGATCTCCATGGTTCCACGTCAAACCTCGATCAGCAAGAGACAGGACTCCGGCGCAGGCAAGTCTGGAGAAGCGCCTTGCCTCGGGATGATTGGGTGATTCCAATGTTGTGGCTCATCTTGAACAAACTGCAAGAAATGGGCTGCGTTATAATCCCCTGAAATTCATAGTATTTTTTATGGTATTCCACTATGCTTTTCATAGGTTGAAGAGACATATCATTGATTTTGGGATAGGGTAGAAATTAGAATTGAAAAAGGCCCATGCATATATGATGGAATATTATTAGATACCCTATATATATATTTATATTTAAAGGCTTTGATTCTCCATTCTATGTTACTTTACCAGAGGGTATCGCTACAGAATATTCTACGAAGTCATGCCGGCGGTTTATCCAGCTCTGGGTTTCACGGATCCCAACATTCGTGGTGCCAAGTGCCAAAATACAAAGTCTATGCAAAGGCCACCATAGGCCGCCTAAAGTAGACAAGGGATAGGCACCTTTCCTTCTCAGGAAATGTTCAAAATCAATCTAGAAAAACCATCCGTTGTGGGTTTTATCGTATGAAATTGCCTGAGACGGTCTTGTGCACAGGATCTGAAGGATGATATTTCTGAACATATACTTTGGAAGACGATTTTACAAACTTTGGAAATGACCCCAGGTTACCTGCCATCAAACATGGCAATGGACAGTTCACCATTTTTAGATGACTGTCCCATTAAAAAAATACTTTACTTCGAGTGATCCCCACCCTAGCATTTCAAGTCATATATTCTGACATATATTTTGAGATTTTACCTAACATTCTATCTGGCATCTATTCTGATATTCTATCTGGCATATCTTCTAGCATTTTATCTGGTATTTTTTTTTGCGTTCTATCTGGCATATATTCTGGCATACTATGTGGCATTCTTTCTCGCATATATATTTGGCATTCTATGTGGCATTCTATGTGGCATTCTATGTGGCATATATTCTGGCAGTCTATCTGGCATATATTCTGGCAGTTTTTCTGGCATTACATCTGGCCGCTGAGGTCCAGCGGTGCCCACCCACTGGGCTCGGAAGGTCCCTGGTTGAGGTCCAGCGGTGCCCACTGCGCTCAGAACCTTGCGGTTGAGGTCCAGCCGTGCCCACTCAGATCGGAAGCCGGCAGATGAGGTCCAGCAGTGACCACTGCGCGCGGAAGTTGGCGAAGAGAGTGGCGAAGAGTTGGCAAGGCGGAAGTGGACGTGGAAGTGGAGGCCGAGGTGGTGGAGGAGAAGGAGGACGAGGAGGAGGTGGAGGAGAAGGAGGAGCCGGAACAGCTGTGATAAAATCTAACAACCCTCACCTGGCAGGTGGGGAAAAAACAACCTTGGTCGACTCGTCAGGTCCAACTCTGGTGTCATTCCATGGGAATACACCTGACACCAGTGGCTAGAAACCACCGAAACTTTGCACATTATTAGTTAATCAACAATATTACAGTACAGTGGGAAAACCTACCATGTGTAGATCATGGATTTCGCGAATAGAAACCCATGGATTTCCATCTCTGTCAATAAAAACCGGATGTTTCCTGCAGGAACAACTCCTGACCTGCTGGTGGTTTTAACATGTTTTAACCGATCCCTTAAAAATATGCTGAAAAAATCTCAACCAATCATCCCAAGGATGCTTGAACTGCAACATTTATATTTGAATGACTCATAATGACCCCTCAAGCTTCCTTAATTTTCCAAGCCAAAGTCGCTCCAGAGCCAACTTCAACAGGTTGAGGCGCTGTTTGGTGCCCACTGGATGCGACTTTTGGGATGCGATACCAGGGGGCCCAAAAAAGAAATGGTATCAGAAATGGTGGATAGTCCATATTGATGCTAGTTTATGGGACACATTCAGTGGGTTGTTTCATGTACCCTCTGGTAAACTAACATAACTATTGAAAATGGCAATTTATAGTTGATTTACCCATTAAAAATTGTGATTTCCAATAGTTATGTTAAATTACCAGAGGGTAGTTTCAGATATGTTCATACCATTATGACATGGCGAATGGGGAACTGGGGCACATTTTTTAGGAACGCCTCTCAACTTGGAGCAGTAGATATCAGAAGAAAAACACGACCAAACATTGAACATGTGCACTATTGCACTGCTCAGAGGGAGACTACTGCACAGTATGCGAATGGCCAAGAATCATCAAGAATCATTTGAAGATACCATCTGGTTATTTAACAGTTCGCCATGGAAAATCACCATTTTTAATAGGTACACCATCTATTTCTATGGGCCATCTATACCATGGCGAACTGTTAGTCATAACCAGAGGGTATTTGAAGCATCCCATCGTCATCTAGAGCAAATCAGGAAACAGAAATCAAAAAATGCGGTCAGATCCTCTCGATGATGAAGATCCCAGGGTATATTCCAAAGTCTCATCCCGGGGAGACATTGCCGTCATTGTCAGGCTTCAACCAGAGATTTTCAACCATGATTTCAACATCAGACGAGGGATTTGGCTGAGGATTCATGGGATTTAATGAGGTTTTGTTTGAGATTTAACGGGCTTTACTTTCGGAAAATCATGGATCATGGAGAATTCATGGAATATACCTGACATGCGACCATTCACCAACCTGACAAAAGATTGGTCATCAATCACCACATATTCCAGTGACGTCGCATTAAACGCACGATGGCCTTCTGTTGCCAGCACAATGTCGGAGTAGTGATAGATGTCCTGTGCACAGCAGCTGTGCAGCATGATCTCTGAAAAACTGGTAGGTTCCTCCTGAGGCAAACATCAACCATAGACCTACCGAAGCACCAAAAATTACCCGCTTTTTGATACCAAGGGGGATAATTCACAGGAGACATCTCTAACGGTAACGGTCAGCCACCAGCATCCCACTGAAATCGGGCTTGGATCATTCCAATCCACCGGTCCAGAACAACTTCCATACTACCAAACCAACATAGATATGAATTTCCACCATTTAAAGGTCATTGTACCGAAGGGGAACACACAGATACACACACACACTTGGTTGTTTTCCACATCGTTTCGTATCACCAGGGTAATCCATCATAGTTCCTAAACCTCATAAAGCCATGGCTATAGAGATTGTATATAGGCTTCGCTGAGCTACAGGACAAAATAAGTCAAACGATCCAGAAAAAAACACAAACATAAACTGTTTGATTGGATTTGACATTAAGCATTTAAAGTTAACATGGATTTTTTTGGATGATTATTGGATTACATTGGTAAGTTTCTGTATATGAACCATATGCATTTTTGTTGGGGCGGCTGGCGACCCAGTCTCGACCATTTTGAAAACATGTCCGAGCGATCTGATGATCTGAAACTACGCGTTACTGGATTGATCCTCGCTGATCCTCGCTATTGAACCTCTTTTTCTATATGTTTGTCTATATATATATAATTGTTTCTATCTATTTCATGATTTGTTCTATCACTATCCTTTTCTATCTTTTTCTCCCAAACTATGTGATGATTCTTGATTGCCGACCCATGGTTGTGTTGAAAACCACCCAGCGCTTCTCCCAATCACCGATCCAATGTTGTATACCACTGAGAACCAGGCTAGAACCCTAAATCAGGCTGAACCGCAGTCAATGTTTTCGGACTGTGATGTCAGATTTCTGGATAGATCGGGGATGTTTCAGCTTCAATCCCCCTGGACACACCTCTAAGCTTCTGGTTGGTTCACAGAGCTTTCACTTTCGGACCATATGAAAACAAGGCCGACGTCACAAAGACTTTCCATCACTAGTTCTGATCAACATCTCCCATTTTTTCAGTTTTTTCGGTGAATCTCCCCATGTTATCACCAAGTATGGTGATACCAAGTATGGTGATCCCCATAACATTCCTACTAGCAATCACCAAGTATTTGTTTCTGGTGAAGTCAGTTTTTCTGCTCCGATTTTGATCAAAATCATCCCCTGGGGCATGAAAACCAAGTCCTCCTCGGCTGGCTCGTGACCATCGTCGATCCGCCCGAAGAGGATGGCATGGACCACGGAGCCGAAGTGTGGATGCGTGGACTGCGGCTGGGCATTCTATAGGCTGGGAGAAAAAAGAATTGGGATCATCATGAATGTGGAGATAATATGGGATAATCATACTTTCATCAATGGATATTCATGGGATGTTTGATATTGCTTCTTTGGATACTCATGGGATACATATGAATATACTATTTTCAATTAGTCACCCATGATGGCATATAGTGGCTCAACGAGAGTCTCGGGGATGTGACGACCAACTTTTGGAAAGCAACAACTTTTTATGCGAGAGTTGGTGGATAGCCGTTTCCCTTGAAAAACATGGCTCCCTTGGAATTGGAGGTTTGAAGGGATAAAAGCAAGACTATCTATATATATATATATCTCTCTCTCTCTCTTGAGAGCCAAACACGCAAACATAAGTTAGCAAACATCTACAGTAGCTCTTTGTAGGGGTGTTAGGGGTGATGGGGGTCAGTGCAAACCCCCAAGCAAGGCTGTTATGCAAGTACGAAACCAAGAAATCATTTGGACATGCGCCATGTGATCTATGTGCTAAACGATCGTTTGTTCAAGCCCGAATCCATGGAGGCCATCATCATCCTACGACAACCCAAAATACAGTGGCTGATTCAGCAGAAGATTCCCCGCTAGATGGTAGCATCGCTTATAGTACCCATATGCTCCACGTATGGTATATTTACCTACATTTGGGTGATGTTTAGGGCAAATGTTGGTAAATATTCCATACATGGAGCATATGGGGTACGTATAGTTGATATCATGATACGACATGATATGATACGATAATGCATCCCCTACATCTTTATATAATGGCAAAATCACTCAGCCAATCAACCAGCAGTTGTGACACCCACCAGCAACCAAGGGTTGCTGTAACCTGACCACCCGATCCTTGCCTGCCAGTTGAAACTGGCGGTGTTGGTGGCTCGTACTAAGAGTTCCTCGCCCATTGCTAAGGCTTCCCATACCGCCCGACGATCGCCCTGGCTAGCATTGGCCATGACAGCGTTCGCGGATTCACGGCACCCGCAAAGGCAGGACCGCGACCATTGGCTGCAGTGAAATCCTAGTTCTTTGAACAGCTGATGACTGTAGAGCCTGAAATTTCTAATCCATCTAATCACCATCAAAACGTACCGAAATGATCTGAAATGAGCATTTTGCTGCCATCTCACCCGGAAAACAATAGTCTTCGAAGTTCGTTGAATTCGGCTCCAGCAGCCTTTGTTGCTTGGCCAAGCAATCTGTGTCATCATAATCAAAAGAGCGTGTTGTTGAACCACCGTCAATTTTTAGCTGCAACTACTTCATCGAGATGTTGAAACACATCCTGTGGATCGCGCGGATCGGGATCAGAAGAACTGATGGCGCCCGTGACCCATCAAATGTATGACCACACATGACCACAAAAATATCAGGAATCGAACATGGAAATGGACAATGCCATATTCTTGAGCAGTCTTACAGGTAATTCCATGATATTCCATGTTTTTCTGTTGGATCCTTGTAGAGTTCCAGAAACCTGTTTTCCCAGCGTTCCTTCTCCGCTTGATTCTCTAGCGGCCCCGGCCATGAAACAGCACCCACCAGGCTCGAAGAAGTGCCTCCAGAATCTCTTGGGGTCGTGTCGGACAGTCAGTAGGACCATCGTTTCTTTTTGGATGGAACATGTGACATATCAACATCACATGTATATACAATATGTATATATATATATACTATATTATATACTAATATATCAAAAAGATTCAAAAAGCAACCATCATCATCAACATCTCCGTTTTCTCATCACCAGACCTACCATCTTAAGCATAACCAAGTGGCCAGTAGCGGATTGCGGGATTGAAATGGTGAGACCAACCTCAGGAAGGGATGCGATGGCCGTTGAAGCAACAACCTATGGAGATAAAGTGAATCGTCATCTAACATAGTCAAGCCAAGAAATTTAAGATCAAATGTTCCTCCCATTTCGGGGTGGTTTACAGTGTTTTACAGCATGCATAGCACTCATTTGACTATCCATGTCATCATTTCTTCTTAACTTGGGGATGGAGAATTCTTACCCTCTGGTAAGCTAAGATAACTATGGAAAATCACAATGTTTAGTGGGTAAATCAACTATATGGACCATTTTCAATAGCAATGTTAAATAACCAGAGGGTACCACATTATTGATTTTACGAACCATTCCAATCCCATAGCTGGAGGACCACTACTAGTACGAGTAGCTGTCTGCATCGTGTGGCGTCGGCTTTACACAGACAGCCCAGATGGCCTACCCATTGAAGACCTTTTAAGATGCACCAAAACTTGCTTTGGACATTGATAATTTGTATTATAATCATTTATATCGAAAATGTGTGACTTCAGACCTGATATATTCTGATTTCATATTTCTAGAGGTTTTATTAAAGACCCATGGGCTGTGAAACCACGGGGCGCCCCTTGGTCAGGGCGTCGTGGCGTGTCCTGGGCTCTCCGTACTGCGACCCCGGTGTTGCACCGTGCAACACAGCGCACAGGCCACCTCCGCCAGGGAGATATGGAACAATCAACGACTGCGAATGGGAACTAACCTGGACATTATATCTTATTAGGTTTCATTAGATCTATAAGCTGGACAATTATGGGTCAATCGTTGATAACAACTAACCTGATAGTATATTAGGCATGTTTTCTTATCACCTTGAAAGTGTGTTGCCAGTACCATGACAGTTTGTTGCACTGATGCCAACCTTGGGCCAGTTTCAGCACTGGGCCACTGGTGCTGACAACAGTCAGTCTTAAAGGACAGAGGTTTGGAATAGCTTAAGGTAAACATAGTCTCAGATTGTCTCTACAGAATGAAAAGCTGGACTGTCGTTTTCCTCTTAAATCTTCCATTTCGATGATTTTCCATGATTTTCCCCATGTTTTTCCCATGTTTTTCCCATGGATTTTCCCATGATTTCCCCTGGGGATTTCCCTCACCTGGCGCCATGAAGAGCTTTGCCGTTGGACGAAGACCGGCTTCACCGAGTGCACCGCCAAAATGCCCTGACTTTCGCGATTTTTTTTGGGTTTTTGGAACGATCGGAAATACATATTTAATGGGATTGTATATGAGATGATATAGGGAGTTACACATATTTTATGGGATTATATATGGGATATTATGGGATGATATAGGGATTATACACATTTTACGGGATATAATGTTTATCTTTGGGTATTTAATGAGAATCTAACCATCGTCTATAGGGATTTTACCTATGATCTAATCTGGGAATATCATTGACAAATGACGGTTGTTTGATTTTCTCACATGGGCAATATATTGATATGCTATATATATATATATGATTATATATGATTATATATGATTATATGTGATTAAATATGATTATATATGATTATATATGATTATATATGGTTATATGATTGTATATGATTATATATGATTATATATGATTATATATGGTTATATATGATTATATATGATTATATATGTTATATATGTTGAGAATTACCACAATCCATGATCCATGAGCTGGGATTGTTTCATTCGTCTGGATAAATCATGTGCGCTCGCAACCATATTTGTCGAGCATGTGTTTCAAAGCACATAAACATTCACCAATCGTAATCATATCAAATACAATTTTAGTGGGGTTAATTTCGAACATATATAGTGGAACTATTTGGTGTCATTGAAAATCATTGTCAGATAGTAGGAAATGTAAAAAACTAACTAGCTTTGTTTCTGGAATGCTTGGAATAGATTGGAAGTGCTCGGTTTCACCACTAGTTACTTAAAATTATGATACATGATGTTCTTGATTCTTGTTGCTAGGGGGGTTCTTAAGTAAGTGACCCCAAAATCATTCAAACAAAGTTGCTTTTAACGGAAGACACATTGGTTTGGGGGTGGCCAATTTCAAGAAACGTCAAGACATGGCATAGTTTGTGATCATCCATCCTATATTGGGCCTCGCAATGGATATATAAACCCTATGGGTTGATGACCATCGTCAATCTTGCTATAGGATCCAACTTCAGACCATGGCAAGTCCCTGAAACTCATCATGGATTCCTGCACTCAAATGGCCAAGGTGCTACCCGAAACAGTTTTTGGGCTGAGAACCCCCATTAACTATAGATAAAACATGATACAATCTACTATAAACTATTGATATAGCCATTTATTAACTGTAAATACTATAGATAAATCTACTGATTATAAAGCTTAATACGGTGTAAAGCAACGGAACGGAGTTTTCATGCGTCGAAACGACCTGGGGCACTGAACAAAAAAGGAGATCCCCGCGCCTGGCGTGGCTCGGACTCCAGGCGCTGTAACGAGATGGGCACCACGCAGTAATCGAAGCCACCCTGGCAGCGCCAGGAAGGGTGAAGCGCTGCAGCATGTCACGAAACATGGGAGATTGGCAGATTTGTTGTTGATTTGTTGTTTATTTATCGCTGCATATTTTTTTTGGATATTTGATTCAATGATTCATGATTGTGCCTGCGGACCGAAAACCGTGCTCATAAAACGCACGTTTTCGAAAACTGCAATTTCGGAGGGATGGGGTGTGGGGTGGGGTGGGGGGGGGCCATGTTAACGTTCCTTGTACTTCGTGCATGAGATCTCTGGGATCGTTGCTACGTGACATGTTTCTACGCTGCAGAGATCTCTGGTGTTGTTGCTACGTTATTTGCTACTACACTGCTGATGGGGTGGGGTGGGGTGGGGTGGGGCATGTTAACGTTCCTTGTACTTCGTACATTATAGTTTGCTACGCTGCAGAGATCTCTGGGATTGTTGCTACGTGACATGTTTCTACGCTGCAGAGATCTCTGGTGTTGTTGCTATGTTACTTGTTACTACGCTGCAGAGATCTCTGGTGTTGTTGCTACGTGACATGTTTCTACGCTGCAGAGATCTCTGGTGTTGTTGCTACGTTATGCTGCTGATGGGGTGGGGTGGGGTGGGGGATCGTTGTGTTCAAAAAGAGATCTCTGGGATCGTTGTGTTCAAAAAGCAAAGATCTTCTCCTGTATGTCAAGTGCTGGCAATGGCAATATGTCAATGGACATAGTCGCCTCCAGCAAAAGACGATCTCGACGCTGAAACGCCTGGTCTGAAAGAAGATGAAAAAGTGTCCGACACATTTTGCCAAAAACCCTCACGAAACGCAAATTTTCGCGCGAAAATTTGGCCAAATTGTGCTCATCGAAGTGTGCATTTCGCTGTAGCGAAAACGTCATTTTTTAAAAAAACGTGCGTTTTGTGAGCACGGTTTCCGGTCCGCCGGGATGATTGTGTACCATCCAAAGAGGTCTTGCTCATGTAAAAAAAACAGTCATAAATCCTGAAATGGGTAGCATTTTTGGAGTTGTTCAGAGCTGGGAAAAATATTTTTGGTGCCATCATTATGAGTCAGTATCGATACCATTATTGGAAATTTGAAAATCAGATAATCCGGTAGCCTCTTGTACATCAATATGTCAATGAACATTCACCCATTTATGTTTTCATTTATTGCGGATTTTTCGTCCGAAAAGTAGTTATATATACTTTCGGACCGCAACTGGCTGATCGAATTGCGATTCGCATCTGAAACTTCGGAAGCTGCCAAATTTGCATGGTGAAATCCCCATCCCTTAGGCAATTTATTTGGATAGCCATTTGTACTGTAACCCAGTGGGATTGGATCTATGGATTTATCTCTGTTTCTATCTCTTTCTTCCGCTATCTCGCTGAATCTCTCTTATATCATGTAATATAAATGTATATATCTATACACATCATATATACTCCATACTATATACTAGACCAACACCAAGAGCACAAACTTGGTGGATCATCCAACCCATATCTTCTATTTAAAAATGGTTTGTCGTACAATCTGATTTTTACTATACACGTCAGATGCGTTTTTTACTGATCCATGGCCGTTCCGCCTCCAGGATCACCTCCACACTGACCTTGGAGCTGAGCTTAGCTGAGCTTAGCTGAGCTTAGCTTCGCACTCATGGGGGTAGCCGGAAGAAACCGCCATTGATTGGTTCAGTTTAGTTACTCTATGTTACTGTTTAGAAATACATAGAAATAAATAGAAATACATGTATATATAGAAACCTCATAGTCATCTTTCTAAATGTGCCATCTTGTTCTGTGTGTTCTGAACATGTTCTTGTGCATGCTAACGGGTGTGTGTGTGTGTGTTTTGTGCATTCAAGATCATTCAAGAATATTCAAAAGTCTCTCTTGGAAGTCATGAATGTTAAACAGCGAAAAGCCTATCTGTATAATATGTATATATATATATATACAATTTCGATATGTGTGTATATATAATATACTATATAATATATATATAATATATAATATAAAATAAAATATATAAAACAATATAAAATATATATATATAATGTATATATATATATGTATATATATGTTTATGTATATATATATGTATATATGTACATATGTATACATTAAAACTATTAAATTTTACGAGCTCCTGGGATTTTGTGATTTTTAGGGAATATTGGATATCAAGGTCAAGATGCAATATTTGGTGCAGTGTACGCGGACAAGGGTCGCACGAAAAAACTTAAGCGTCATGATGCGTCATGGTTTGCACGGGTTTGCACTGGATCAGCCTTCCATAAATGGAATTGGTCCAATTAATCCTTCAGAAAAAATGAAACGGTCGGAAACGGTCGGAAACAGTCGGAAACATGATCAGGCCAAAACTTGTCTAACCCGCATTCCTTTAAAAAATAAACATTTCCGCGCAACGCAGTTTTTTTTTTGAAGGTCCAAAAAGGTGTCCAAGGGGAAACGGTTGGAAACAGTCGGAGATCGCACCTTCGCTCGGCAAACAAGACATGTTTCTACAGAATTTTCAAACATTTTTCATCAACATATGCCACAAAACAACTACTTTTTTGCCGAGCGAAGGTGCGATCTCCGATTGTTTCCAACCGTTTCCCCTTGGACACCTTTGGACCTTCAAAAAAAAACTGCGTTGCGCGGAAATGTTTATTTTTAAAAGAAATGCGGGTTGGACAAGTTTTGGCCTGATCATGTTTCCGACTGTTTCCGACCGTTTCCGACCGTTTCCGACCGTTTCTGACCGTTTCTGACCGTTTCATGTTTTTTTCTGAAGGATTAATTGGACCAATTTCATTTATGGAAGGCTGATCCAGTGCAAACCCGTGCAAACCATGACGCATCATGACGCTTAAGTTTTTTCGTGCGACCCTTGTCCGCGTACACTGCACCAAATATTGCATCTTGACCTTGATATCCAATATTCCCTAAAAAACACAAAATCCCAGGAGCTCGTGAAATTTAATAATTAAAACATATACATATATATATATATATATGCACCACATTATACCAACCTAGCTGGCTTGGAGAATCTTCCCACTTCCACTCAATTCATCACTCAGATCCTCCAAGCTCCCGCACACAGTCTTCAAATGCACGGGGAGCGGCATCGACCACGTCATACCTCGACCGTTTATACGACCGTTTGGATCAAAACCATGGAGAACCATGAGGAACCACGGAGAACCACGGAGAACCATGGCATGTAAGCGTCTGCAATGTATACCTTTCTATTGGATCATCTGAGTTTCTTCACTACGTCGCATTGAAATGGCTGGTAAAGCCGGATGTTCATCTCCCCAAGTAGGTACAGTCAGATGTTTTGACATGTTTTGACATGTTTTGGCATGTTTTGACATGTTTTGACATGTTTTGACATGTTTTGACATGTTTTGACATGTTTTGACATGTTTTGACCCATGCTCCAATGGCGGCTCTTTTCCGCTCTCCGGTTCTGTCCTACCTGGTTTCAAGGCAAAGTGTTGGAAATGCTGACAGGCACAGGATCCAACTTCATCTACCCAACTTGCGTTTGACGTCCCTGGATCTGTGTAGTTTGACCGTGATGGATCGGAGAATGCCATGATGCCATGAGACTTGAATTCCATCAAGGTGATCCCAACATTTCCATTTGGATGTCTACAGCACCTCAAATGCCATCCCTGTCGTCTCCAGCACCAGTTTCTGGGGCTTCCAAACCCATCTGCACCTGTGCCCCACTGGCAAGGTCTATGTGAGTTGGGGGATGGTCACATTGCTACAAAAAAAGAATGCAGCCCAACTTAACAGACTTCAGGGATGATTATTTAGGGGTGATAGATACGATTGCCACTGCTGATACTGTTTGTGTTGCATCTTCTGTTGACGTCTGTGTCAGTCACGCTTTTCAAGAGTCATCATAGTGCTGGAAGACGATCAGATATACTCCCTGCATCAAGAGTAAGGGCTACCACTATCCATGTACTCAGGAGTGTTCCCCTGTTTGCCTCGCTGCCCAAAACCCTTGGACTCCCAAAATCATTCTCTTGGAATATCTTACGATATTTTCAGGGTGTTCCGAGCAATACAACAACATTATAATTAATATACATTATATTATATATCAACCTGGAGGAAGGAAATTGGAGAAGACTTCAGGCACATCACTTTATCAGGCCGGAAAAATGTTGTGGGATCAGCTTTGTAGATAGAACTTTGCCAAACAAAAAAAACTATAGACAGTGGGATAGATCCTCAAGCGACAGAAATGGACCCCAAAGAAACATCGAACACTTCAGGTGCTCCAAAAACCCCACCTCGCCGTCGCCTTGGAGTGGCCAGGGTGGGTTCGGTGTTCCATCCATGTTGCTGATGGATGTTCCATTGCAGTGTTAAATCCCAAGGGGGTTTTCACTCAGCACTCGGATGAGTTTCCTCGTGTCGATGATGAGTCCAAAACTTGGAGACTTTCTCTTGGCCTCTGAAAGTGGATGATCAAAAAGGATCAAAAAGGCACAGATTCCCTGAAATTGATACCCAAAATGAGGATGTCATGGATGTCCAATCATGCCCAGCCATCACCACGTATCATCACCTTAAAGCTGCCCTAAGGCACAAGATCACCAGTCCCACATCGACGTTGGTACACGTGGCGCCGAGCCTTGGAGACTCTTTTATTCTGTTCCTCTGAGTAGGTAACGGCTTGGAATTTAAGGGCTCTCTAATGTATGATTTAAATTGATTGAATTGATTGCCTTGCCGTTTCGAATGAAACCCTCACATGTCTTCATGGAATTTGTATGATAATCTTGATGAATTGAACATTTACCACCAAAAATCGAGAATAGCATTCACCAACAAATACGGGGAGCGAGATGGGATATGCATATTCACCACCAAATTCCAACAAATACGATTATAGGATGGGTGGGAGATTCATCAACAAAGCTGGGGATCCACCATTGAGAAAGAAACATGTGGACAAGTTTAATTACAAAGTTTCGCAGATCTGAAATTATCAAATCTAGCAAGGCCTTCCTTAGGTCGAGAAGGGCTTTTAAATAATTCTTCCAAAGCAGATCTACTGTAAGGTGACTTAAAGCATTTTTTGGATTGGCCCAAAATCACCCCCATCTTGAGGCTGCATCCCAGTTGTGAAGTAGCTATACCATGCTATCATTCCCATGTCTCTAAGTGGTGACGAGGTGAGCCTGGTCCCTGACCTAATTCGTCTGTGCAGTGGCTTGTTCCACAGTCCGTGACTGAGCTCTCAAACGCACCTTCTCGAGTGCTATGTCGTTCCTGGACCACGGAAGTTGATGGCTATGACTTGTGACACAGAAAACCCACCTGAACCATCCGATTGTTGAATTTTGCCCTGAATTTCCACTCTGGAAAACCACTGGAAGAGGGTAGCTGACCCCCAAAGTCAACGATATACGCGATTGGATTGTACATCCTGGATGGGCATACATTGGTGCGGATTCTGTCCATCTAGAATCTTTGAAAATCGTTTTGAAGCATCCATTTTCGCTTAACCTGATGCCAAGAAGCTGCATAGCGTCCACAACTACGTTACATTCTTTCATATTGCGGAGTGATGTGTCATTCAATAGATATAAATAAGCAATGATTTATTAAGATGTCAACAGAATATTTCTAATTGACCACCACCAGGAACATCAAATCTGAGTCGTATTGGCTTCACTATCTGGATTCGGCATCGTGGAGGGGATGATCCAAATCTCCAGCCTGCCAGAAGGCAATGTCCACATTGCTACGTTCCCGTAGACTCAGGTCGAACGCCTCACAGCCCGGGCCCCGGACCGCAGGGGATGGATGGCAGTTTCACAACGGGTAGTTTTTTGCACTCCTGAACCGGAACCACTTGTTGCACTCCTAGACCCAAATTTCTTCCACTATTTATTTTGGTTGCTGAAATCTGCAGTCTTGTTTGCTTTTTCAGGTGAACTCCTCACGTGTGTTGGTAGATTGAAATCAACATTTTCCAAAGTAAAATCCAACAGAGGTAAAATCCAACATGTTCTGCTCTGAAATCGGTAAAACAAATCCTCAACATAACAACATATGTACACATCTTACTTTTATCTTCTTTTGGCAGGTCCAAAAGCATGTTTTTTCCCCGGTATTCCCCGGTCAAATCTGCCCAGGGTGCACCTGTCCCGGTCCCAACAAAGATGGCAGCCAGGCTTTCTCTCGAACCTCCAAACGTTTTGTTGACGTGCGCGTTTGAAGCGCTTGGAGCAGGACCCAGAAAGAAGTAAAAGTCATGTTATGTGGGTAAAACAATGCCATAAACGGGTTTATACATGTTTATACATGTTTACACCACCCATTTATTATTGTTTTTACCACATTAAGTCATGTACAAAAACGATTCTCTTTGTAAATGTTCAAACTGTTCTATCTTTATAGATTCATGAAGTGGATTCTTTTCTGCCTTTAAAGAATCATATAGATAGAAAAATTGTTAATTATCCTATCTATAATTAAGTGACGAAGATGGCTGATTTTTCTATCATACATATCGAGAATATAATAATCATATGATATATGGCTGATATATGGCCAAAATCCTATGGACATTTTAACTATCTCTTTTAAGGGACACCCAGATGGACGTAGACCCCACATCTGTGGCGTATCCCCCCAGCCCAACCTCCTGGTCCTCATCATCATCATCATCATCATCACCATCAACAAGAACAGCAACATTTGGGAGATTTGAAGATACCCTCTGGTAAACTAAATTAACATAGCTATTGAAAATGGCCATTTATAGTGGATTTACCCACTAAAAGAAGTGATTTTCCATCGCCATGTTAGTTTACCGGAGAGTATTTGGGTGTTTCTTAAAATGATAGGATACCCCAAAAAACCAATGGAGTTTCAATAAACATCCGTGGTGTGCCACGGACATCTTGGGCCTTGGGCCTTGGGCCAACGTCGTGGTTCCATCCCCAGCCTTTGTTGGCCTTTTCAGGGCCCTTTTATGTAAAAAAAACACCATCCAATGATATCTGTGTTCTGGGACGATCACACCCAATCATGCCCTTCCGCCTCATGCCAATCTTGATGGACACGACAAATTTCCACCTGTGCAAAGTACTCCTGCAAACGTGCAAACGTGCAGAAGGCAGTTGAACAAAGCGACGCGATGTGTCCATCTCTCTCCATACATACGATATATCGTATACAGTCAGTCCATTCTTTACAAATATGAAATTAATATGAACATATAGAGTCATAATTTTCCATAGTCTAGAGACATCTTCACCGATCCAACTATGAAATTATGTTGCTTCTTGGATAAATATAAATATACATATATGTATATAGTGTAATGGTAAACTATCACTTGGCTTTGGGATTGATTACTGTGACAACAAAAAAGGAACCAGACTATGGACATGAAAAAAAAGTGTCGCAGTAGCTACAACCCAGGGATCAATCCACCATCACAGGGGTAGTTTAGATCATCCGGTTCGTCCTCCTGGTTTGGGCCAAACTATAGAGATTTCGCTTGGACAATTCGTCATGTCAACCCCAGAATAAACCATGATCATCTAAGAGAGCTTCATCCAAGTCATAATTTGCTCTCTGAACATGGTTTTCTCGCTTAAATAAATACGCTCTGGTAAACTGTTACACTTTGCGAACTGGAAAATCCGCAGTTTTCAGTTCGGTAAATCATGGTAAATCAAATAACAACGGGCCATTTTCATCCTTTTCTATAGCCAAACTCTTAGTTTTTCTCGCCATGGCCCGTCCTTCACATCCTCAAAGGCCATCCAAAAGATGGACATTGGGTCATCCATCAGAACGCCTAGACGACGGGTGAAAATGGGTCGTCTGACACGTTTACGTCACCATATGTCATAGAGAAACTTAAATTGAAAAATGAAACTATAACATGATTGAAACAAATAAACAGAGCTATATATATTTGTATATATACATATATCTTGAAGAAAAAACATGCAGAAAATAAAACATCTGCATCTCTGGGACGAATCATGGCTCTGAGAGCCACGCCAGAGGAATTGATGACTTTCAACTCCTTTCGTAGTTCCGGGGTCCATCCATCCCAGTCCTGACATAACTGAAGAAGGGGGCACGAAATGTTTTTTCACATCTTGACATAACAGCGAAAATTTCAAATCGATGTTGACCCCACTGCCAAACGGATTTCCAGTATTTCATGCTTTCATCGTATGTATATATATATAGACATCAAAAAAAAGAATAAATATACCGATACATATACTTTACCTCTATATATATAATATATATATGTATATATATATATCTATATGTATATATATATGTATATGTATATATAATATCCCTATCGGTAATTGGTGGGGGGGGTGGGACCCCTGGTTTATTTTTTTTAATTAAATGGGGTACCCTGCAGTATGGTTTTTCCAAAATTCTTCAGTCAAGCATACCATCCGTTTATTTTTAACATAAGAAATTAATCCAGCACAATCCAGAATTAAACCAACTCAACTTTCTTCAGAATCTTAAGGAGGTGGGTGGACCCCCTGTTTTCGTAAGATTTTTCTAATTAAACCAAAAAAATAAACCTAACACAGTGTACACCTGGTTTAATTTAGCTAGTGCAAGGGATATTATATATATACACATGTATATGTACAATTATATATATATATAGGATCGACCATCAAAACAAACGGCCAACAACCACCCCGTGCCGGTCCTTGCCCCACTTCCCTTTCCAGGTTCTGGGAGCATTTTGGCCCCAAGGATTTCGGATCCTTAGCGAAAAACGCGGCACGTCTGGGTCACGATAAACATATGTATACATATACGATGTCCATGTATAGAGATATGTATATATATATATATATATGACTACTGTAAATATATATATATATAATAAAACATCAACATGCATCTACTTTTTATGTTTAATTATTCAATGTACACAGACATATGAAGATATCTGAGCTGCAACAGCTGGTATAAGCTGAGATCATCGCGGATGGAGGAGGGGAACCCAAGAAAAACTCTATATAGATTGTATAGGCCATTTAAAAAAATATATACAATGATCTGGCTGAAGTGTAGTCTATAGTAATTCATAGTGATTCATGGCAATTCACTTACCTGAAAATTGCTGAAACTTGCGCGATCATTTGGGGATGACTCCCCCTGCAAATAAACCATCATTCCAGTGACGTCAGGACGTGAGGTCGCGATCAAATTCATCCAGATCTGATTATACAGAAAATTAAACAGGAGCTCAAAAACATGGCTTATGGGAAATCAATCCCAAAAGTTTAAACTAAATGATTGTATATATATATATGATTCTATGACATTTTATCATATCTTATGATATTGTATGATGTCGTATGGTATTATATCATATTAATAACACATTATATCTACTCCAGCTTGGTGTTCATTATTACAAACCTCGGTTCTCCACAGCTCGGTGCTCAATGTTTTTTTCCGAGTGCCGTGTACGATCTGCTGTTGGGGATCCTGCTAGGTACAATCCAAAGAGCTCCTGCTATATGGTTATCAACCACAAATGGTTATGGTTTATTGTACAACCATGGTAAAATGACAATAACCATAACCATTTATGGTTGATATATATATATATGGTAAAGATCCACAATATGGCATTATATGGTAAAATGGTAAAATGACAATCTGCGACATTATATAGAAAGATCCACAAAACAATAACCTTGGTATATACTTCCTTGACATTGGCAATTCTATGCAACTCTATGGTTTGGAGGGTATACTCCATTTTCAGACAAAGCCAATTCTCAATGGGACCTGCCATCACGGCCACTCAGCCGCACACTTCACCAGGTGCTCTGTCTTGCCATCCACCACCACCTGCAGCGGCATCACATGGTAGCCATTGGAATTTTCCAGGATGCTTCATGATTCATGACTCAGGACAGGCCAAGGATACATCTAAGACAAAGAGCCAAAGTAGAGACACGTGATACAAACCCTGAACTACTCGCAATCAATCTTGAGTTTGTTTGCATTATTCCCTTCCTTTTCCCGGACTTGCTGAGGAGGACCCCAAGATTACAAACTGCAAAATCTAAAATCTAAAAAATGGATTCTCAGTGGGATCGGCAATTGGAGTGTCCGTTTCTGATTTGGAAATTGGATTGTAAATCCAGTTCCATGTTGAGTGATTGCCAATTGATTGGATCGATATTTGGAAACTCCAACTGGAAACAAACTCCCAGTTCGTTATACTGTAATTCAGAACTGTATCAGCATCAACTTGTCCAACTTGAATTAGAACCCAATCTATAGCTTCATTGGTTTGGACACGAATTTGCGCAATTTACAAGTGGGGGCCGCCACCATGTACGCTCTGGTAGTCAAACATGGCAATCGAATGCAATAAACAGTTCTCCATGTAGTTGTATGATTTACAAATTAAACATGCTACTTGTTTCAATATTTTTTCGTCGCAAACTGTGAAATTACCAGAAGGTATAAAGTCTTCACTCCTCGCCTCAGCCAAGTCCAGAATCCCATAAGCATGCGGAGCCTGGTTGAGGGCCCAAGAAAAATGGTGAGTTGTCATGGCTAATTTCGAAGCTAGTTGCAGCACCTGTGCTACTTAGTATGTATCTCTACATATATATATATATATATATTGATATTGATATTTATATGTATATGTATCCCATGGACATTGCAAAAAAAACTGAAGATATTGAAGGATCCAAGCTTGACCCATGGAAAGTTAACCAAGGGCAATGGTAACAAAAACACAAACAAAAGGATAAAACCATGTCGAGGAGTGGAACTGCAGCTTTGTGAGATGACTTCAGACTGTCAGTGAACTGGCGAACCCCAGCTAAACATTAGTAATTGATATTAGATATATATATATATATATATACAGTAATATATATATATATACACATTGTTCAATAGGAAAAAAAGGGAACATACAGGGAAATCCATTGGAAATAGAGGTTTATAGCTGGGAAAATCATCTTCGGGATGATATGTATATATATATATATATGTATATTAATTTCAATCAATAAATAAATAAATATGTATATATATATATATAAATGTATCTATATATATAATTATATAATATATCTAACATACTTTGAAACAAGTGGCCACACTTCAAAGCACTTCAACGGCCCAGTGAATCCATTTCAGCTTCACCATCGCCACCAGGGCCAGAAGTCGCCTGCAAGCCCATCTCCTCTACGATGTGATGCTTGGACTTTTCGCAGGCTGGCGTCAGAAGGCAGGGGCAGGGACCCCCGGGGAGGTAAGCTGATTGGTAACATGTGCAACTTGTGGTTTTCAGTATTCTATATTTTGGATATATCATATCTATTATATTTCAGTTTATCAACTACTGAAGAACTCCAACCGCACGTCGAACTTGCACTTTGACTCTGAAAATCATACACTCAACGAATAGGTTGTCTGAACATGGCTTACCACTGAAATCTCAAGGTTGGTCCTACCGTCCCGAGAAAAGTCGAGGTCATCTGCATGCGATGCGAGCTGGAGCAGCTGGGACTCCACCAGGCCTTCTTCAGAACATCCCAGACCCAATAAGTAGCCTGCATCCTGTCCATGGAGGGCTTGGGGCTTCTTGCTCCGTGATCCATGGCTTCGGCTTCCATTGCTGCGGATCAGAATGATCATGGAGGGATTATTCTAGTTGAAAAACTACAAGACGATCAACGATTATCAAAAATGTCCAAGAAAACTATTCACAACCTGCTCTTGGCACAACCAAACATGTTCTCCCAAAGTACCGTTAAGTTTCGACCACTTTCCGCCTTTACAAGCTGATGGTTCCCCTGCCACTGAATTTATTTGCTTTATAAACCCATCTAACGTCATCTAAGTATAGATATACCTATCATGAACCCGACAGCTAGCCAAGTTATAAACCAACTTAGCTATCTATAGGGCACAAATGATGGATAATCCTCCCCGTTATCTGGGTGGACGTTGTTTCTTACCCCAGGCAGCCAGAAGTTACCCCATCCCAATGGCACACAGGGTTACCCCAGTCCAACCGGAAGTTACCCCAGGAACCAAATCCTATTGGCACACTGGTACCACGCCATCGTTGGTTTGGCAAACAAAATATAAAATATAAACAATGTGTCCGTGCCATTGCGGACCACATATTTAATACCATCTCCTTTTGTGATAAAACCATGTTGAAAGAGGGCAACCGCAATTGGCACACACGCATTGACAGCAAAACAGCTGCCTTCCATCCAAATGAGAAAAGTAACCAATTCTGCAGCACACGCCCCGTTTCCTTGTCATGACTCTGGACATGGATTCGTTTGATTTCGGTACTTTAACTATCTGTTTCCTAATGGCACACCTAGTGCCAAATAAGTCGTGCAAAGCATCCCTGACCCGGGCCCCGGCGTGATCCTACGCCATTTACTAGAACTTGCGCCAGCAGCATGGCACACCGCTTACGCCAAAGATCAATAATCTTCCGCCAGGTGGAAATCCTATTGGCACACCGACGGTCAAAGTGGACTAATTCTGAGGCAGGCAACTCAAATATATCTATTTAATTACTATGCGTTCAATGTACGCTTGTTAACCAAAAGTTGACAACCATATGCCGGATTGAACAGTCAGAACTATCATCCTCCGCATGGCACACCAAATTTCATGGCATTTCCAACATCCAAACTTGGATGATGATCGACGTTACATTCCTATGGTTTCTATGATAAATTCTACTTCATGCCAATTAACCCTTTCATCCACTTCCCCATGGCACACCGCTGATCGGATCGACTTTCTTTTTTCAGGTCATCTTCTTATGCTTTTGGTTTCTTCCGCACAGCTTCCAGCCTTTTCACAAATCTCTTGGTTCTCTGCCCAAAACCGCGCCCTGCCCAAAACCAGCAGCACGAGCAATAACAGCAGCAGCAGCAGACCAAGCAGCAGACCATTGCAAAGCCTTTCCAAAACGGCTGGATTTTGACTGGCTGCAATTTTAACGAGGTCCGAACGAGGTGCGAGCGAGGTCCGAACGAGGTCCGAAAACAAATTTTGGGAGACTGACCCCCTAAGTCTCCTGACAAACTCTTTGGTAGCCACACGCTTTCGCATTCTTTTCAGAACAGTAAAACTCAAGAGCTTTCAGCGGTGGAGCAGAGCAGGAAACCAAGCCAAGCAGCAGCTGCAGGCAAGAGCAAGGAGACAGAAGAGGAGACAAAGGGCGAGTAAGGGAGACAGAGGGGAGAGAAAGGGACGCAAGCTTGGCAAACAAGGCGGCAGTGACAAATTTGAGCGGGCACAGACTGTTTGAGACGTAGGAACCGTGATAGCCAGGTAAGCATCGTGTGCCTATGCGAGGTGCCAAAAAAATACATCAGCAAGTTGAAGTCATAGGCGCTGCCCATGTGGGCCTCTCCACATTCCCCATAGGCACACCACGATTTGGCACAAGATCTTGTCATCGGCACTTGTTACAACATCGACCCAGCTCCCAAACTTGAACCCACTGGCACCAAATGGCAGGCACACCGATGTTAGCACAAGATCTGTTGTGCTGCACAAAATCATTGAAATACCCAGGGCCACATATTCTCTTTGACCGAGCATGCCACTTCGTTTGGATGTCACAAGTATCAAACCAAGTAATAAACAAACACGTTTATGACAACCAGTGTGCCCCTGCGTTAAGTGCCCTGCAATGGACAAACAAACGATAAGAGGGTTTATGACTACAGATGGTAGGTTCATGTTGGTGAAATTCAGCGTGCCTATGCATTTTGTGGTCTTACAATAAGCAATGATCCAATGGAATAATAATACCATATGTATCTTTTATACACATTTCCCCACGGCACACCGACCTGAGACAACTTCAGGGGAGACGAGACAAGAAACAACATGAACCCATTATGATTCATTATTATTCATCATTAGATCACTATAAATCACTCTTAGTCACATTTCATCCCTACTGTTCGCTCTCAATCACCATTGCCAAAGGATATCGCCATTATGACATTATAGTCATATGATTGAGGTCAACTATAGTTACTATAGTTGCTATCAATCACTACCAATCACTATCAATCCCTTCACATTGAAACCGTCCCGCGTTGTTCGAGCCCAAGAAGTTGACCTTGCAGGAGACCAGCTTCGACCAGTTCAGGTCATCATCGTCGCTGTCATCACCTGGAACGGTTTGTTTTTTGGACCGTTGGGTTCCCTCAATATGACAATGTATACTGTACATATTCATATAATATCTATTGATATGTATATTATATATATACAATGTGTATGAATATATTCTAGTTGTAAATCAGCCAATACCTCAACATTGATGGTTTCTATTTAGCACAGAACGGCTTCCCGTTGTCAAGTGTCTGTATAATCCCAAGTGTGGGAACAAAAAGCATATCAAAATGAATCGATTGTGTGTCTTGGAAACCAGCAGCCAGTGGAAGAAATGGGATGAGTCCAAAGCTTCGCCCAGCACTCCAGCGTCAGGATGGTTTTCGCCCCCAAGCCTGAAACCTTTGGATTTACTTTTCAGCAACAAACACCAGCAGCATCATCAACTTGGCTATCCCTAAATTAATTCACCAAGTGCTGCCACAACCGGGCCAAGGTCCCAACTTTGATCCTCAGGGACCTCTTGCCCACGGAGAAGCAGCTCAGTTCGTCGCTCTTGCTGTGCCTGAGGAACTTGGCAGCGAAATATTTGAGTCAATTCGGAGATTGACCCCCAAACGCTCCAAAAAAACGACATGGACATGTGTTAATTGGGAAAACACAACATGATGTTCTCAACCATAGGATTTCGGGATATTTTGGGCTCTACCCTACTTTTCCAACCAAACTCATCATATAAATATTTGATCCGGGAGATCCTCCTGGCAAATGATTCCAGCAATCACCAACCACAAAACTACACATAGATCATGATAGATCCCAGGAATCATAATGATTCACTAAGCTGCAAATAACTGACATTTTCAACCACTTGGGGATGATTTTAGCCTTAATAATTAACCATCATCTTTGGTGAGGTCACAGGGAACCTCCCAGGTCACAAAAGTGTCTGACAAATTCCATGGATTCCATGATGACATCGACTGAGCATTTTCCCTGCGGTGAACGTTTGCGCAATGGAACATCACCACATAAACATCAAACTACGATAGTCATCTGTACAACTGAGCATTGTCCACTGCAATCCAATATTGCTGGAGGGTACTCCAAACGTTACATTGACCTGGCAAATAGTCGGGAATGGCTTCAAGAAAATCCCAACAACAAAAAGTTGATTCATATTGATTCATTATCATTAATGTTAATTAATGTTGATTAATGATGACTAATGCCATCATTTTCTCTACACATTGAGGCCATTTTTTGGCAACGACCCCGCGCACCTGACGTCGTTGCGCCCGCTCCGCCCGCTGCAACTTGGGGATGTAAAGGCGCAGCTTCTGGCAAAGCCCATCGGAATCCACGGCTTGATATTCCAGAAATAGCTGGGATTTATGGATGATTCATGGATGTTTCACCAAAAAGTATGGAAAAAACATATGTTTGCCAGTAAACTCTTGTAAGCATAGGTGACTGGACAAAAAAACACAGATACTTGCAGCAAACATAGGTAAATTCAGCAAATGGCACGTCAATGTGCCGAGCCCGGCATGTTCCTGTTTTCATGGTGATTTACCTTTCATCCCTTCTATCTTTGTCTCGAGGAGTCCTCGGGACATTATTATGCTACCAACTTACATGTCGATGAAAGAAAAGCTGGACACCCGGGAATCATGGTATGAGCTTTAGTAACACCTGAACTAGTCTTTCAGGCGCCCCTGTATGGTTGTTTGGCCATCTTTCTATGACTCATCAACCAAACACCCTCGCAGCCTGCGTGGGGTAGCCAGTGAACAGGGCCAAGGCCTCACTATCCCGGATCGCTGATTCCGTCGGTTGGGGCACGGATGAATCAATAGAATTGCCTAAGATTGGTGTTACATGGTGAATTTTGATTTTGGATCTTTCTTATGGCGAATTTCCTTGGGTCTCGTCTCCATTTTCTAGTGTCCCACATGGATTACCAGCAGCTGCTGTAAGTACTCATGCCACTCTATTAATTCTGTGTACCATGTTATGCATCACATCAACATGAGTCTATGGCAAACACCCAGTAATGGGACCCCTCCATACACCCAGTCTGGTCGCTTCGCCGTCTGGTCGCCTCTGCAAAAGTGCCACCCTTTAAAGCTCCATAACAACCTGAGATGCACAGGTGACAGCAAGTGACATCACAGTGCGGTAGGTGAAATGATCCGAAGCTGTTTTGGATATAGAAGCTTGGACCTATATGCTGAATGGAACTATATGCAAGGATAAAACAGGTGTTTTTCGGAAAATCTGTTGAAACACGTCGAAGCCATGTGGGCTGTGTGAACTCTTCATTTCAGGGCGACCAAGATCTGCCTGAAAGACCACTCAAGTCCTGCTGCTTGCCACCTGTCCTCTGACTCATATATGGCAAGATCAGGCAAAATGCACATATCCCAGTAGTTTTTATATATATATATACACATTTCATGGACACTTTTTAAAAGCATATTCTCCATGTCAGTGCCGCTTAACATATCTAAGAATCCTCACTAGGCTGTCTTTACAAACAAGCAATGGCAGAAAATTTACTCAAAGCACCAACCACATGTTTGATTTATACAATGGAATGAGGTAAACCCAACAATAAACTGACCCTGTAACCAAGTATTTGGGTGTCTTCCTACATCATCCGAAGTAAGGTATACCCCAATCAACACCCATTGGGACTTTTGCCATATTCTCCATATCAATGGGAATTCCAGGATCCTAAAATGGAGGTACTGTACCATATAAGGCCATATGCCATATTTTGTAGGGATATTCCCTTACATAGGCCTTATACAGGCCTTATATATGTTAGGTACCTCTAATTTAGGTTCCTGAAATGGCCATTCTCCATATTGAATTGCTACGTCTACGACTAGCTACTTTTTGGGTGTCCAGATTTCATCAAAAAAACATCATCCACTTGCGACTGGCTGCACCTGAAATCACCGATCAGCAGACAACCCAACTGAACATGGCTTTGGAATATGATGGTGATATCAGCTCTGGTTTATTTTGCTTCAAGCAGATTGAATCCAATGGATTTTACAGGTGCAAGGGGTTCCATATGGTGCTCCCAAAAGTCAAATGTTTATAGAAATTGTAGTTGAATTGTTGAACAAAAATCTGGCTGATTCTCCATACAGGGATGTCATACTGAAATCCGGAAGAAAAATCAGCTGTGTCCAATTCAGCATCAACCAACAAAGCAGAAGTTGCCATTAGTTAAGGTTTCCATCAAAATTAATAGATTTCGCGCTCTTTGTAGCATAAGATAACCTTAGATATACTGCAAAAAAACTAGTTGGTTAATTAGATTCCCAAGATATCATTATATAATTCCTCGTCCCTCATGAATTAATATCTGAATGTCTCCATTCACCAAACAAAAACAACCTACTCACCCTGCATAATACGCCCTAACAACCCAGCTCCGAATCCCTGTGGCTCTGACCAAAAAGCTTGGCAGCTGCCTGGCATAACTATAACTATGGTAATGTTCTGATGATAATAGATGATTACCATAATAGATGCTAGTCATCATAACTATGGTAATTCTTACTCAGCGGGTGTCCCTGCCAAAAAAAAATATTGTCTGGGTTCGCACGCCAATTTGGGCTATAGAAGAGGGGACAGTTTCGCGCGCGCGCGAACCCAACGACAAAAAAAGTTTAAAGTGTAGTCACTTGCTGAGTTAGAATTAATAGATGGCCCATATAAATTTAGTTCGATGATTTATCTGTTGACTACCAGAGAGTAAGGTCCATTGATAAGTAATAGAAAATTGCATCCATAAGATTCCAGCAGTCTGTCAAATTCAGAAAGAATGATCAAATGACCCTGCATTTCAGGAGGTTTAATCACAAATTGATACACGATTACTGGTGCTAAACGTAGGGAATTTTCGGGAATGATCCACAATAACCAGTAATAATCATCCCAGCAAGCCCCATTCCCCCATTCCCATCAGTGCCCTACGTTTAGCACCAGTAAGATTATCAATATGTCAAAAAAATGATGCAAACCCATGCAGTCCATGAGGATCAAACTGGGATGTGACCAATGCTGCTAGGGTGCCGCTGAAGGTTCAATCCGGGCATATTTCTGATGGTCACAACCAGGTGTCAACTGAAGGCGAAACCATGTGAACATCATCTATGGAACCACCAAACAGTGATTGATTCGTCGCTGTGACTGTTTCCTTGAAACCTGATAGGGTTTTTATCTATTTTTTTGAGCCGTTGCATGCAACATCATATACTTATTTTATTATTAGATGCAGCTTTCTCATGGCCAGTTTATACATCGGACTTCCCTGTTCATGAATCATGACTATGATGATCCGCAACATCTGAAGGGTCGTAGAAACCCCTACAGTCAGCAACTCATCCAAAGTTTCGTGTGTCGTTGAAATGCATTCCTTGATAGTGCTTGAAAATGAATGTTTGCCTTAGACCTAAGATCCAAGAACATTTCTACACATTGTTTTTAGATGTATTCTTGGATCCCTAAGACCTTGTTATTTCTTAAATCGCATGGTTTCTGATCTTTTCGATGGGACACTGGGAGCCTTCTCCACCAAAGGAGGCCAGAGCTGTCGCCGAGCACCCTGCGTGGAACGAGTTTCGATGTGGGGATGAGGGGATATTCACCCATGTAATAATGGGTACACCATGGTACACCCATGGCATCATATAATGAATAATCTCAAAAAATGATATGTCTACAGACATATATATATATATAATAGAGGTATCTGGGTTTATCTGAAAAATGGTATATAACACTCGAAAATTCCATGGTTGATCTATGTAAAGATATGTTTTAACAATGTCATTTCAAGGGTGTGCACAATTTTTAAAGCACACCCTATATATTGACCAACCATTAATGGATCTATACAAATAGGGTTTCTGAACAGGATCTCCCAAACCAATGGTTTTCCTATACATGAAAAACAGCGGATTTGGATGTTGTTGGGTTCCCCACTTTTGAAAAACAAACATGCACATAATTACTTCCGCAAGACACGCGACAACGCATACATACATACATTACATTACATTACATTGCATTACATTACATTACATTACATACATATACTATATATAATATATATAATATATATATAATATATATAATATATATAATATATATAATATATATATATATAATATATCTATATAATATATATCTATATAATATATATATTTAATATATTATATATATTATATATATATTATATAGATATATATTATATAATATATATATGATCACTGTATATATGCATAGCCAAAATAAGTGTGTATGGGTATCAATTATCAATTTCTTAGATTTTGTGTCCGTCCTGCCCCCCCCGGGCACCTTCCATGAACAGTATCATGCACAAGCGAGGCATTGGCTAACACAAAAAGACACAAAATGTGTTGGTTGCAACATGAGGGGCCACTACCCTCTGTGAATTCCCATCGGTTTCCCTCTAGGTACAAAAACAAACCATCAATTTGGTGTTTTTTCTGCGGAACCAACCAACATTAAATGACATACTTGCCCAAAAGCATCTGCTGCATCTGCCATGCATAAGAGCTTATTCTTTTCCCGTCGACTGCGGATGTCTTGCTCAATTCTCTCAGGAACTGCCAGTGGCTGACACCGTCCTGTGCCTGTACAAGGTTGCGACAGCATAGCTCCTGGACTGCGACCGTGTCGCATCCAGTGGCTACCAAAATTAGCCACCGCATTTACCGAGTCTTTGAGCTGTTCTCTAGACGTATCTTGCAAACATATTTGGGGCTTGCCAAGCAAAGAGGCAACACGGTAACAAGAAAGAGCATCATGTAGAGGGATATCAGCGGTATATCTCCATCAAAAAGCATTTAATTCTACCTCGGGCCAACCGGAAAATTGTGGTACTGATATCATGAAAGTGTTGGCAAAGGCCAAACACATGAATGATGATGATGCTTCATTATCACCAACAGTTTGGCAATCCCCTTCTGTTTTCCTCTTCCCTGTGGAATGCTCTCTGTTACACTGTTCGCAAGCAGAAAACGAGTTTGATCGCGGATACGGAAAAAGGCTCAGTTGTAGGGGCTAGATCCATTCCACTCAGGACCTTACTGTACTGACTGCATCATCTATCATCATCCCCTGCTCATGGCCAGTACATTGCATAGGACAGCTGCCACTGCGCCTGATCCAGCGGAACACCAGTGGCATGTTCCAATGTCGCTGTGGTCAGGCGATATGATTCCCAAGAGTAGTTGCTATCTGAAGGTGACGATATTCCAAGGAAAACTGGCATTCAACTATTCAACTTGCACCATCCAACTGTCCGGACGCCAATGCACTTCCTCACAATGACACTGAAACATCCCGTGCACCATGGGAAAGATGGGCTTCAGCAGCGCAGGTAACCTGCGCCCAAACCAAAATCAAACCACATACTGAAGGAAGTGTCGAGAAACTGAAGAGTTTGGAGTTGAATCTGTCACCTTAAACTCATCAATACTGTACGGGGTCATGCATGATCGAAGCGGAACCAAATTGAAACCGTACCAAACAAAATGTTCTACGAATCAACGGCCGCTATCTCCTAGCTAAAGCCTAAAATCTTCGACTAGACACTTCGGCACCCATATCATCAGCAACAATTTGTATGCGCGTTGCCTACAAGACCCTTCTTCTCAAGTATACCGACATACGTTTGAAACGTCAGCGTAGCCAGTGACAAATGCCATGGCCAAGACACGCCGACTCGACTGCAGAAAGCGCCAGGGATGCATCGCCAGCTCTGGTCTTGCTGGCGGAGGACTCCGCAACACCTGGACGGAAGAACTGCAGCGGTTCTCTGTATGCCATGGGATAGGATGGCATCGGGATGTGCTCCAAACCATCAAATCGGAAAGTTAATTTACTGCTCCACTTGTAAAGTTTGGATAAGCACATATTAGATGTGTGTTTTACATCTATCTGCATATGATTATACATATATATATATATAAGACATGGGCAAACATGGTCTGCATGGTGCAAGACTAAACATTGCTAAAACCAGTGGACATAGCAGTCCCCAGGGCCTAAAATGTTGAATTCATCCTGATACATATGTACACTGTATATGTATATATCTATCTAATATCTATCTGATTGATATAATATATACAGTCATGTCGTTGGGAAACTTTGTTCTAATCTCCAATTCCCATATGCTCCATGTATGGAATATTTACCAACATTTGCCCTAAACATCACCCAAATGTAAGTAAATATACCATACGTGGAGCATATGGGATTTGCTGATTTTGTTTCGGGAATGTGGCTCCCCCCATTCACCGCTGCCACCGGCAAGCCCAGCGCCTGCAGGAACCTCTGGTGGCTTCAGCGGCCGGTGCACTGCCTCGAGCTGCGCTAAGCAGATGCCAAACGGGAAGCAACAAACAGATACCCTGCGATTTATCCCTACAAGTATACTGGTTGGTGGTTTGAACCATCTTGAAAAATATAAAAGTCAATGGGAAGGATTACCCAATATATAATGGAAAATAAAAACTGTTCCAAACCACCAACCAGTATAATTTGTTGATAGTAGCCCCTGCATCTCCACAGCTTCAAGAGAGCTCAACATGAGGAAATCCTTCATTTGTATTGCGGAAGTTTCTGAAAGTCATCTATAGTAGTAAATGGCTATGATGCGCATGTAGGGTTGTCTCAAAATGGAAATTTACCTCGATTGTCTCGGAAATTCATGGCCACCAAGCAATGGGAGAATTTTCTCGATCACGAGGTTTTGGGTTTTGGGGTACCCTACATTCAGACAACCTACTTGGAACTTGGAGGATCACTCCAGTTGATAAGCGGTTCATCACTGAGGGCTAGTACGTCCACAAAGCGGGTTATAATGGGTTATATATCCCATTTATAGATATTTATAGTTGGCCAGGACCATAATCAATTTCCTATGTTTGATCAACGCAGTGCACATTTCAAGAGATTTTCTAATCGTTTCCTACATCTAGCCATCTTTGATTACCATAGAGTACCCTCTGGTAAACCAACGTAACTATGGAAAATCACCATTTTCAAATGGGTAAATCCGCTATAAATGGTCATGTTCAATAGCTATGTTAAATTACCATAGAGTAACCCCCACTAACCCACCCACTCCCAGATACCAATGGTGCCTTGGCTTTGCACCCGTCGCACATGTCATAGTCACATGCACCTTGGGGCTCCAATCCGGCCGCCAAAATGTTTCATTTTGGAGATCAACAATGTCATTTGGATCAGTGTGCTAGTACTATCTAATCATTAGATGCATTTTGGGTACCAAACACTTAGATGAAATCAATGTAAATCAATCATCTAGTACTTTTTTGGGTGGAACTTGAATGAACTTAATATAAACCAACATCTTAGGTACATTGTTAGGTACATTTCAGTAATTTTGGCATTCTTGGGATCTGAATTGAGGTCTTAAAAACGTCGCTGTCCACTGTCCATCCACTGGGATCCAGGACCGCACCCCCAAAGATGCTCGCCTGTTTTCACCTGGTGCTGTCGCCGAGTCTTTGGCGAGTGGATGAGTGTGATCTACTTATCGGACGTACAAAATTTATGGAATTATAACACCTGCCATTTCATGACATAAAATAATGTAGGGGATTTTGCAATTGCGAGGAAAACACCGTTTTTCAAAACATTCACCCCAATAACAAACCAATTGTTCCTTCAATTTCCCCTCCGAAAGAAGCAGCCAGACCCAGCCTGGCGGTTGCACACGTCACAAACGTAATGCGCATGTGGCGTCGCGTAGCGCCGCAGAACATGATCCTGACACGCGACAGGCACGGTGGAGCATTGGAAGCGAGATGAAGACAGGACACACCCATAAATGGTGTTATTTTAAAGAGATATAAATATGAAGATCATGAGATAATGGGATACGAATAGATATGATATGTATATATATATATATATACTTATCTATATATATATAAATATATCGTGATATATATATATATATAGTGATATATATATATAGTGATATATATATAGTGATATATATATAGTGATATATATATATATAGTGATATATATATATATATATATAGTGATATATACATATACTGATATATATATATATATCATCAACTGATAAATGTGGGTGTGTCGGAACATGGGGGAATCCATACCGGAGCCATCGCCTTGGGACATCTGAGCTGTGCTCGGCCCGTCGTGGTGTTCCCCGAAGCCCCGTGCTGACGAAGGTGCCTCCACGGACCCGCCAGGGTGATGCCCCGTAGCCAAGCTGGTTTATAAGTCCAATCATGAGGATTTTTGATACATATATCGTATATATCGTATATAATAATATGTATATATATATATATATATGGTATATCTATATATATATAAATATCATAAATCATATATCATATATCATATAATATATATAATAGTTACAGTAATGGGTGTTAAAACCAACATATACCTTGAAGGGCACCACCTTGTAAATATCATGGATGGTCTAAATGTAAAAAGAAATTCGAAAAAACACCCAAATATCTAAAAAACATAGACTTTTGACTGCCTGTCGAAAATGATAGTCATCAAGTTATGACAGCTTATAAGCAGTTACTCGGTGCAACACTTCCTCAGAACCCATCCAGTTTGCTCAGATTGATAGCTGGCTCATGAGCCCTTATTAGTGCCTGCTGGTGGTTAATAGGCCCTTCATAAACCCAAACATGATTGGGGAGGTTACCTGTGGTTCTGCTATTGAACCCTATAGCCTATATCCAGCATTGGCAATTGAATGCAGGTGATATTCCCGTAAATAGTCCCATGATATCCCCATTGTTATACATGTGTATGTTACAAATACACACAATTACATAATTATATCTCTCTCTCACATATATATATATGTAATTATATATATAATTATATATCATATATCAAAATCATATATCATACAGAATCACATATATATATATATATATATATCCATACATATCATGTATATATATAGGTAATATATATATATGTATATATATGATATATATATATGTATATGATAAATATATTAATATATATATATATATATCCATACATGTCATTTATATATATATATATTATAATCATATATAATTCAATTATAATTCCCTTATTTAGGGTTTGTTAGGCTCCACTGAAATTGCAATAAAAAATAAAAAAATATCACCACAACCCGTGAGATGAGCTCTGAGTCACCGCCAAATCAGGCCCCAGAAAAGCGATGCGTCTCCACGTCCACCAGATCTGTTCCAGGACCTGCCAGGGAAAGGTTTGTTTTGTCGTGGAAAAAATGGCGAAATCGACTTTTTTTTTGCGGGGGGGGACAGAATTGGGGACGTATTCATGGAAACCGATGGGAAATCATTGGTGATTCAACTTGCAGAATTTCTTGGAACAACTTTGCCATGCAGAAGTAATTATGCTGAAGCAAAACATGTCCTGATTGGTGGTTTCAACGCATCCACCCAAACAACATCTCAACCCAGCTTTGCAACCCACCAGCAGTGGGTTCCAAGGTTTCAGGAATGCTGTTGGGATTAGTCCTCTGGGACTATCCCAAGTATGGAGGGAAAACACGTAAAAGCATCATTGAAACCGTCCGTTGTACGTCCCTATGCCATAAATGTAATGCATCCTACTGTTGCTTCCCCAAATCCCCGTTGGAACCAAAACCACCAAAAAGTTCATCCAGTTGTGTGTCATTAACTTTCCAAATGGGTTTCTTTAAAAATGGGGTACACCTCAAAAATTGCAATTTTTGTTGGTAAATGAAATCTTCAAGTCCGGAGGTGTCCCAAATATTCAATCCAGATTGAAACCAAATCTTTCAGGATTTAATTTGGATTTCACTTTTCTATATTTTTCTCGCTTTTTTCGAGGGGGGTTGAGGGGTGCTAAAGACAGTCCCTGGGCCCCATCCACCTGCTCTCGAAGCGCCATCCCAGGTGTGTGCCGCAGCGGCGGCAAATGGCCATGCGCCAAATCCAACCTGCGCAAATACGGCCCCATCCCTCCAAGAATAGTATATCACGCATGAACCCCCCCCAAAAAAAAACATATGAAATAAGGTATCAAAGAAAGAGACACCCAAATTATCCCAATTTTAAGCTGCAAAACATGGAAAAACTAAGCCGTTCCCTCACCAAAGGCGCGCCGTGCGCCAACCGAGAGGCCTGGGAACCAAGTGGTTCCGTCGTCATACTCGCGCCCCTTCGGTGAGACAGCGCTGTGTTCTGGTTCTGCTTGGAGGATCATCCAACAACTGTAACTGCTGAGGAACTGGGGTGATCCAGTTATTAGGGGATACACCCACTTGGGGAACTTACTAACCAGGTTTTCGAGCAGGTACCAAGCTTGATGATCCTCCAAGTGGGAGGTGTAGGGAATGCAAGACACCAGGATACAGCGCGACTTCATACCCGTTGTCATCGTTTGCCTAGTGGTTGCGAAAATGGCCAACCACTTGACTTCAATTGACCAAACATAACTGGGTTCAGACACGTGTGAAGAATTTACCTCTATTTGACACGGGGATTTTTCCTATTTCAGGGAGCAGGCTGCCAACCCCAAAGATCTGGACATGGAACATCGCCAAACATGGCAGAAAATGGTCGGAAGAACATGTTCCATATCTTGGCATCCTCTTTTAATCAACCAACCAGCAGGAAAAACAAACACAAAACATGAAAAATCATGCCAGTCTTCCCGCACCCCCCACTCCAGCAGCTTCAGCACCTCGGCAACTGCCCCTCCCGCCCGAGAAAACTGGCCTCATCGCTGTGAAATCGGCGTTCAGGGAGTGGGTCGAATCTGCTGATCCTAAGGGAACTACTAGACCAGTGAGTTTGACCATCTAATCTCAAATTTCTGACTGGGCCTGAATTGGTGAGATGGCTTGATTCTCTTGACGGATTCACTCTCTTCGATTTGAATCGCCCCAAGTTTCCCAAAATGGTCTATCTTTGAATTCATTCCCCCGCCCTCCAGGCCCCACAACCCCCGAGCACATGCAAGGCGCCAATGTCGAAAGTGCAGCCATACCTTTGCACTCGACAAAGCGTCGAGGTACCCGGGCTTGATGCACAGCCGATTGACGATCATCCCAGCTGGAACGACGAAAACCAAAACAGCCAGAACTAACTTCTCTACCCTCTGGTAAACTAACATAACTATGGAAAATCACCATTTTTAATGGGTAAATCCACTAAATTTCTAAATACATCCAAACACAATGAAAAACCACGCAGCTGCCAGACCCCTTCCAGCAATTGCACCATGTTTTACCAAGCTTCGGGTTGGTGTGCGTGGAAGTGTCTCGCCAGTGCTTCTGCAATGCCACAGCGCTGTCGCAGCCTCATCAAACATGATGCCCATGCCATCCCGTGCCCCATGCAGCTATGACAATAGAAAAGCCGTCATGATTTCACAGATTTGAAATTTTACTGCTGTGTAGCCGTGGACGTATTTTAGCATGTCATGAGAAAAATGCCACTATACCGTTATACCTATGGATCGGTCTGGACCACTTGCGTTTTGGTATGGATCAAGGGTATGGACCACTTGTGGGTTTCAACCCGCACCCTTGATGTGGGTGAACTCAAGCGGGCAAATGTGGCAAGTATGCATCCACTGGCCTATACATGGAATGCATGACATGAACTGGTCGAGATATTATATATATATGTGTGTGTGCGTGTGTGTCATCATATACAGACATATACATATACAATTATTATATATACTTACATACATGTGTATGCTGATATATGTAAATGAAAATATATACGGATTATAGTTGCAAAATAATAAGTATGCACATACAATACATATACAATCATATGCATACAATATTGGCCAAAATATACGCCAGTTCCTATGCTGGCAACATCTTATTCAGGTCCGCTTGTCAAGGCCAGGGGGGCTGTGCAATCCAAGCTTCTCGAACACCTCGGCAGCCATGGCTGAGAAGCCCATCCCGGAAACAGAATGGCGATGGAACCTTCCTAGCAATTGAAACGTTTTGGCTCCATTAATGGGAAAGTAAACTCAAAAGAGGTAAGGGAACCCAACAAAACCAAGAAGCATTGTCATAGCCCGTGGCATATGAATTCCTGCCCACCAAAAAAACAACAAGTGTTTCTTGTGTCCTGGGTTGATATCATTCCCTTTCGTAGATAATCTTTTGTAGCACGATCCATCCACAGCTACAAAAGGCAATTCAAAAAAAAAGGATATAGTGAAATCAGAGAAAACAAATCTTTGAGTTTTGAAGTTATTCATAACTACCCTCAGCCCCAAAACAGCCAGCTTCCGCTTTCTGGCGTCGCCAAGCATAGCCAAGCTGCACATATACCGTGCCTTCGTTCTCCACTATGCGCTTCAACCGCCCAGCACTTTTCGCGGTGAACACCTTCGTGGCAGTGGCAAACACGAAACGTGAAACTCCGTCCCCCATTTCTTGATAGGTCAAGCTATACATTACTAATTAATTGTAAAACATTTTTTCCAGCTTTCACATGTGTTCCAGCCAGGTTCCCTGCAACACACAATTGGGCCGTTCCACCCTTGCTCTCTCGCGTTTTTTTTTCCACCAGCGGCCACTGTTGGCCCGGCATCCCTGCTCAGCGGAAGAGACCGCCAAAGATCCTGCGAAAGGTATGGACATCACTGCTTTGATCTTGATCGCAAAAGATCAGGTATCCCGCAAAAAAAAGTTTACTTATCGATGGTTGCCAAGTGTATGCAATATATATACAATATTATGCATTATCAATATAATTATTCTTATTACAATAATTATTATTATTATGTGATAACAGACAGGTAGATCGACAGATAGATAGAGAGATAGATAGAGAACAATGATAGAGATATAGATAGAGATATAGATAGAGATAGATAGAGTCAGAGATAGAGTCAGAGATAGAGTCAGAGATTGATATTTAGGTTTAAACTTGTAGATTTAGTTATAGTTATAGTTATAAACGTACTTGCACTTGTATTTCTGCTAGTAGTTATACGCTCACAATTGTATAGATTTATGCATACAAACATGCAAAGATATATATATAATGCAAATATGGAACTCTCTCACTAAATGCGTGGTATATGGATTGGTTCAGCCATAGCTTTAATATGCAACTTTAATTGGAAAAACAATGTTTTTTTCTGAATCGTGAGATCTTGAGGTACCCAATTTCCAGAAAAAAACAGAGAAACTGGAGGATGGGAGCCGTACAAATATCCCAATGATCTCGGGACATCAACGAGTTACTAAGTCTACTAAGTTACAAACTTACATACCTCAGAGACCCAGATACCATTCCAGTATATCCCAGGGGCATTCCAGGTTGCTTGATGCTTGGTGGATCCGGTTGGAGGGAGCCAACCACATGGCACAACAGCCGCCTCCTGAACCAACCTTTGTGGCTGGCTGCATAGGTCATCGCGGTGTCTACGTCGTCCGCGGCCTCTGCCAATCCTGGAAGCTGCTGGTACTCCTACTTGGCCCCCTTGAAGTCATCCCAAATGATGATTCACCTGCAGTGTGCTAGATTGAAATAAGATCAATAAGTAGGCTAACTCCTTGGATAGATATATATATACATATGATATTCGAAAGTTGGATGGGTGAACATAAGCCTACCGGTCCAACCCGGCTGAATTACAACAATCCACTTTCTCTCAGAAGCCAAACATCAACCTCCAAGTGTTAGCCTATATTTCTCCCAATGACAGGGACTCATCCTCATCCCATCCATCTGACTATGTCCTGCTCGGTAAACGTCTGTGAGGTGCTGCAAATTCGCCAACATCTTCGAAGTGCTGCTGGTCAAGTCATTGATTTGCTTCGTGGCCTCTTCCCCCAGTGCAATCTTCAAGGGCTCCTCCAACATACCTTCAGCGGACCGGGGCGAAAAGCACCGGGGAAACGTGGAAAAAAAGAAAAGGGGTGAGTTTGATGTTTGGAACCAGGGAAACTCCTTGGTGCCCTCTAAGTAAATCTGAGCTGGCAGGCTGACAACGGATTTAAGACCTTCATATGTTCTATGTATTTCCATGTGTCCGATGGGAGAAAACATCTGGTGCTTTTTGATTGCCATGTTTGATCACTTTTTTTAAAAATCATTTTGAATCAAACATCAATCATCTAGAACTGCAGGATTTTACACGAGCGCCTGTGAAGGTCTGGAGCTTCTCGTTGAATGCCTCCCTGAAACTTCCGGTGGTCTCCGAAATGTAAGCCAACTTGTCCTGCGTTAGGGCCTAATTTGAAGGATCATGTGCAGGAAACCTTTACCCCAAATATACGGCGTGTTTAGCCTGAGCAACGAGCAAACAGTTTGAACACCTCAATGTCTGTCCACCTATCCCAAAAACAGTAGTTAGTCAATTTCAGGTTGTCTTGTCCAATATCGGTTTTAACTTTGGTGGACAACCTATGACATCGCCAAAAATTCGGCAACATCAATCCCACTGTGTCCTTATACCCCAATCCCCAAGCAAACCGCCGCGAAAAGCCTGTCCTTGAGTCCGCTCCAGATTTTCTTATACTCCTTGCCGGTCTTGACAAGTTCCCAGCACTATGGGTTGATCTGGGTGGATAGTAGCACATCGTGATCCCGACAATGGCACAAGCAACACTTGCACCTCCATGGGGGAAAAGACATGACAGCTGTATCGTTCATTATCGATCTACCTCACAAACACATCAGTTCAAAGAAACGAATACCCTGAATACCCTCCAGGATTTCCACACGTTTGTTCCAACCACCCAGACAAATCCCATTAAGGCAGCATGAACTTCCATTTAAATCCTCAATGATGTATCTGGCTAAATTATGAGCCATCAACAGCCTAAAACTAGCTGACACTTGCGGCCATTTGGGGATGATTTATAATTCATGCAGAAATATGTGAAATAACATCAGCTTATTGATACGTATATATATATATATAAGTTTCCTCTACACATCTCTATAGCCCATGCCCGCACTTGGAGGATAAGCCCACTTAGTAGGTGGCTAGCAAGTGGTAAGTGGTTGTATTTTCAGGTTTCAGCGGGGTAAACTATGTTATACCCAAGTAGACTGATAAACCTAAATAACAATGGGCAAAACCGTTAAGCACCTGCGACTCACTCCTTTTTCCTGAGCCGCAACAGCTGTCAGATATATCTATTATACATGGGTTTTATGGTGGAGTGCAAATACACCCCCCTCAGGTGAGCCGGTCACGGCAAGGCTGCCCACTTACCAGGGCGAGACCATTTCGGTCTGCCTTACCGCTCCTGGCTCTTTTGCACGACCTGAGGAAACCCAAACAGCGGCTATGATACAAAAATCGATCGTCAATGCAAGCAGTTTCACAACTTATCCCTCTTCCCATTCAACTCGGCCATGCCTGATAACTTTCTCATACCAGCGCCCGTGCCACTTCTGCCATTCTCCAGTGTAACGGCGGTCATCATGGGACTGACTTTGCTGAGGGCGGTTGATCCACTGACTTGCAGACGTTGATGATGAAGCTACCTCTACGGTGGATGTTCGGGCAACCGGTTTGACGGTGCCTTTCTTGGAGGGACCCTGGCCGTACGCACCAGTCTGCTCAGCTTTGCGCTTGGCCTCGTTCTGTTCGCGAGCCCTGTCAGACTGTTTCTTCTTCTCCGCAGCGTTCTGCTTGTACAGCTCCTCGTTTTGGCCCTTAATCCACCTCAAATGCCTTTCAGCATCATGAACAGCAATGTTGTCGACGCCAGTACAAGACAACAAAAGATTATGCTGAGGATTCCGGTTCAGATAGTCGATGTATTCTTCCTCAGAGTAGATTTCAGTCCGGTACATGTAGAACCACGGTTGATCGATGTACCTGAAGGACTTCGGGACGTCAAGACGGCTGGCAAGATCCAAGTAAACCAGCCTCATTGCGTTGTGCTCGAGCTGAGACTGCTCGGAAACACCCATCTTGACCTGAGCCTTGGTACGACCTGGCTTCGGCAGATGTGCAGACTTGAGGAGGTCGTACCTTTCACAATCGTACTCGTTCTCCCCCTCGTTCAGCACGCTCTCTGCGAATGTGGCGTCCTGAGCAAACCTGTCTGCCACAGACACATAGCCCAAGCTCAAGGCACGGTCGAATCGACTCTTCGCCCTTGCTAACAAACTAGCTTCGGGGCTAGAGCTTCCTCTTGCCTGGTCGTCCAACAAACCCAAAGATTCGAGCTGACTGTGTGTGATGCTCTGCAGGTACTCGCCACGAAAGTCATAGTACAAGCCCAGCTTGTGAAGGGCGGCCTTCCTTCGTTCTGCAATCTTGGTGCGGTCGGCCTTGTTCACCCCTTCGAGCATCAAGCCACACACATCACATTCGATCTGTCCCTTGAAAGTCTGAGCAAAACATCTTGAACATTGCGTGACTTCAATCTTGATTGGCACCGGCTTCTTGTCCTCCTTCTTTTCCTCTTTCTTCGAAGGTTGGTCATCGCCTTTAGGGCGAGACTTCTGCTTTGGCACCAGTGACTTGGATGTTGATGCCGGCGTCTTTGAAGGTGACCCTGCAACTGGAGCTTTTGGATCTTTCTGTACTGCCTTTGGCGGTGCAACTTTCGACACAGGCTCCAAGAAGGCCGCAGCTGATGATGCCGCAGGCACAGCTGCGGGCACGCTTGTCAGGGCTGCCTTCTTCTTTGCAGGTTCTTCCTTTGCTGATGCATCAACTTCTGAGGTCACAGCTTTTGGAACTTCTGGTGCATGAGGTGCAGAAGTCCCTTCCTTCGGTGATGGTTTTGGAGGTACTTTCGGCGGTGTCTTTGGGCTTTCAACCTTTGCTGCAGGAGGCTTCGGAGCTTCGCCTTTCGGAGGAGGGGGCAACAATCTGCTGCTTGCATATCCAGGCATACCGGCAAGTTGGGCCACATTTGGTGGCGGAGGCTTCACCTTTCCTGGGAAAAATGCTGTTGCAGTGGGCGCGCCAGTTGAGGCGGCCGGAGACTTGGAACCAGCCTGTTGTGATGCCTTGGCCTCAAAGGTCTCGACAAGCTGTTGGACTCCAACTTCTCCCCCACTGCTCGTTGCAGACTGTGCGACCTCCTGCTGGCGACGATACAAATTCACCTTTTTGGCAGTGTCATCGACAGAAATAATGTATTGAGGCGGCACGACATCACTTGTAAGAATGCCGTCAGAGGCTGTCCTGAAAACACACAATTCCAGCTTTGACCGCCTCAGCCATTGCGACCCTGATTTCAATGGGTCGTTCAGCACGCAGGCCGCTGACATACTCTTTCTCGTCGACACGCACTTCACTAAAATAGGAGTGTGCCCTGCCTGATGAATTTCGTTCTCCTCCTCCAGCTACGAAACCATTCTCAATGATCCCCTTCCAATTGCCTTTCGTAGTCCTGTGATAGACTACGCCTGGGCACATCTGCGGTGTTGTAATCTTTTTGCCTTTGGCGTTCATCTTCTGGATGGCTGCCGCTCCGGACAGCGCATAGATTTCCACCGCATTGAATGTGTCCTCGGCCGAGGCAGCATCCATGGCACGCTTTGTGTGCCCCTGCACTGCACGGATCCTGATGGGCCAGTAGGCTAACCCTTTACGGGTTGCCTTCTGGTATCCTGCAATGCACTGGAACTCAAAACGGCACTTGCTGTCCCAGTAGAGAAGGGAAATGAGCTCTTCAACCGTCATTCGGGGTAACTTGGCTGGCAGCATTTGATTGAACATTCGAAAGAAGTCATCAAGGTCAAGCCACATGTTTTCATCAAATCCAGAGGTGTCCTGACCTGGCTGTCCACGTGTCACTGCATTGACCTTGGTTTTGTGTCGGTCCATGCGATCTGGGTACCTCAGCTCCTCGGCTCCATCCATCTCCCAACATGTTTTCGTGATCAGTTCATATGGATGGGAGTCCACAACACAATGCTCAACAACTTCCGCATTAATGTTCTCGTCCAGCATGATCCGATACTTGTCAATGTGTCCAAGTGTATGTTTCGGGATGATCGTGCCTTTGAGCAAATTCTCCTGCGTGGGCTCACCGGCTGGGGTGGCCTGAGTTGAGTCTTCCTGTGCAGGTGGAGCTTTCGCCTTGGGGTCAGGAGGAGCTGCATGACTGGCTTTTGCCTTTCCCACCGATGGGCCTTCATACTCGTTGGCATCCAGAGCATCCCATGGGTCGCCTTCGTCATCATCATCATCATCAGCGACACCAGCATCAGTTGGGCGATCTCTCAACTCCTCTGCCGTCAAGCTTTCTGGGGTCGAGACGCTCGGTGCAGACTTGTTCGTCTTCTCCCGCAGAGCGGTGAGGACCTGCACAAACCTGACTGGGAGATGCTCCATCTTTGGTGGGATGTCACGCATAGTAGCCTCCCCTGCAGGACGCCTGCGCTTGTACAAAGACAGGTTGTACTGGGGCACCAAAATGTCTGTCATGTGCAACATGTGGAGAGTTGCCATGACATATCCGATCATCTCACTTCGGTTGAGCTCGGTCTCGAATGCGTGAAAGTAGTCCCTGAGCTCAAGCCTCGGTGGAAGCTTATCATTCTGAATCCACCTGATCCGATCGTTGTCACTGGCAATCTCTTTGAAGAACCATTCCTTCAGACGCTCCACAAAGGTGGTAAAGATGAGACTCAATCCATAAGTGAGCGGGTCGGGCTCGCCGATTAGGGCGGCCTGATCCACTCCCAATTCCTTGAGCTGATTGTTCCACCACACAATGTTGCCCTTGACCCTGTCCATGATGGCATTCCAGTCGCCCTGTGGTTCCCTCTGCCCCCAAATGGGAAGGGGTTCAACACCATGTTCCCCACAAATTTCATTCCCAGACCAAAAGATCACCGAAATAACCCTGATGGCTGATCCATGAGAAGAATATTTTGCCATCAACTCCTTGATCATGGAAATATTTGCTTTGCAGAGCTGTTGCAAGTCCTTTCCCCAGAGCATGTCATGACCGATTTCGAGAACCATGTCCGACTTTCGCAATTCCAGATCCTCCTTCAAGGTGTACTTCTTCAAAGTCCTACCCTTTCCAGTGATCAGAGCCAAAGTTGAATCGGAAGTCACCACGTAGATGGTGGGCACGACGTCTACCGCCGGCCTTGAAGTCCCAGGGACATACTCAGTAGGCAAGTTCAGATCCCACAGCGAGTCGTGCTCGAGCTCGGACAGATGGCGGATCTCCTTTGCCCACGGCACATTCGTCAGGGCGTCAGTTGACATGGATTGCGCAGTGAAACATTGCATTAATCCTGCGGCAATCTCGAGGTCTTCTGTCCTGTTTCCTTGCGCCAGGATCGTTGACGAAGCGAGGACCGTTGAAAAGATGTCCTCCCACCCTGCATGCCTATCCCCCTGAACATCAAGGCACTTCCGAAAAGCAAGCCACTCCGACATGTTGCTTTGTTGGGGCACGGTCTTTAAACCGGCCGACTTGAGAGCCCGCGCGTTCATCTTTTCAGTGATCGACAGATTTGAATCATCAGAACGGCGGCTCATGGCGGGCAGAGCTAACCTTTTCCTGTTCTTGGCGGTTTGTGCCTGG